AACAAGAAGGTTAAGTGGAGACAAGGATAGAAAAAAACTGTCGGGGGGATAAGCACATGAAATAAAGCAGAAAGAGACAAACAGAGCTAAAGAAACATTTCGAACGGGTAGCGTGCCGGGGGAGATTAAGAGAATGTGCCCGTTTCATCCACTCCTCAAGATCCTTGTATCATGTTGGCCAAGGGCCAAAAGCGAGGTGAAGACCAAAGGCATAGAACAACGGGCTTAATTCATCCCCCGGATTTGAATTCATCATTATCGAAACGCCGTTTGTTCGTCGGGTATCCGGTCCGCCGTTAAAAGGATTCAAGCGTCAGTCTTGCTTTTCTTCTTCTGTTCGACCTTCAGCAGCAGTGCGCGGTTGATGCGTGGCAGAACACCACCGAAGGCAATCGTAGCACGGATGAGAGTATCCAGTTCCTCGTCTCCACGGATCGCGAGCTGCAAGTGACGGGGCGTGATACGCTTGACCTTCAGATCCTTGGCGGCGTTTCCGGCAAGTTCGAGGACTTCGGCGGTCAAGTATTCGAGGACGGCAGTGACATAGACAGCAGCTGTGGGCGGTATTTGTCAGCAACTTTTTGGAGGAGATGGGAGTTTTTAGCAGCAGTGAAGAGGACACTCTGCGACAGATGGACATACCCTTGGCACCAACGCGCATCTTGTTCTGTGTGTTGTTCTTCAGGAAACGCTTAACACGTCCACAAGGGAACTTAACAACTAGATGTCAGTTTACGGATTCAAAGCAAGAGCAATAGATGAATGCATGTTGGAGTCCAAAAGTCAGAATCGAGGGAGGGGGGTAGGAGGGGGATTCAAGGCGCGGATGATCGGGTCTCTGGCTTCGCACGGAAACGGCCAGCGCGCTTGTGAGCCATAAATATACAAGCGACCATCTGAATCAGAGAGCAGACCAAGTACAGACAGACGTCAAGGAGACAGCTTGCATGAGGGGCAGAGGGAAAAAAATTCCCATTACAGCTGCCACAACCATGCGTTCCCGCGACTTGCCGATTAACGCCGCAACCAACGCCACTGCCAGGAGGAAGGAAGAAAGAGACTGGAATTACGGACCTGCAGACCGGCCTTTGCGCTGTGAGACTTCTGGCTCTTCCCCGCAGAGTCCTTGGAGCCACCCTTTCCACCGATGGACTTTCCCTTTCCGCCAGGCATCGTGAATAGTTTCGAGGGGTGGGACCGGAAGGATCAAAATGTCGCGTCAATCGAGGTTTAAAATGGGTGGAGTGCGATGGTGGATGATGTAGCGATCCGATGCACCTCAAGCACGCGCGTTGTTGATGGTTGAAGGAGTCAGAAATGTCAAAGCCATCCTGGTCGCTAAAGACGGGCGTCGAACGTGGAGCGACGCTAGTCCCGATTGAGGAACCTGCTCAGCTGCCTACCACGGAGAGGTCTCGATCAGCATAGAGTATGCCAGTCGGCTGGCCTCACCAAAGAGCATGGTTCTGGATGCCGCTATAGATTCTGAAGAGTATTTGCAGAAGCACGAGGTAAGGCTCGATCTGCAATCAGCAACCAAACAAACAGTCTGGGGAGGTTAGTCATTGAAGTGTCTATACCACCGCTGGGTCGAGTCATTCAAGTCTTGATGCAGCAATGGTCCAAGGTGCCACTTTTGTCAGAGAAAGTCATTGCGCTGGATAGCATCTCTCCAGGTTTGTTCTTGATGTCGAAGAGTCTCAAGCTGCATCAGATGGTGCAGGGTTGAGGTTTCTTGACTGTATGTAGAGACGCAGTTGAGGTTGGTAGGAGAGTGTGCAGAGCATGATGGTCGCTGGACTGGTTACATAATCAGAACAGGTGATCTCTAAGTGCGCTTGCCAACCAGGTGGGCTAACTCGGTGCCTTAAGGCCCTTAAGGCCCCAACAGCTATGCTTATCGCTGACGTTATCTGGGTCGCGTGTGGCATAGATAGCGCTATACCGATAGTGGCAAATCGCGACCACGTGACAGTACGCTATCAGGACAGCTGGCACACTTTCCCGGGGCTCCAGTTCCGCAGTTTAGGAAGTTTCTGTCCTTGCACGCGTGTCTCCATCTTTGTTTCACCCCATCGCGCACTGCTCCTCATATTCAAAGGGTCCCCTTAGGCCTCCAGCACTGCCGTTCAATCTGTCAAGATGGTGTCCCCTCAAGTGTGAGTCCTTTCGAAGCCTTCCTCTCCAAAGTCGAAGCGAAAATCGTTGTCGCCTCCCGAAAATGGCATTACTGACAGCGTATTCCTTGTTGCAGTACCAACCTCGCCATCATCGTGGTGATGATGCAGCTGGCCAAGAAGGTTCCCTTCGAGAATCCGGATGTCCTCCTTCTTGTTCGTTGCATGTACATCTTGTCCAACGTGATCATCCTGGGTCTCTACTTGTACACTCAGGCCAAGATCAACAAAAAGAATGGTATGTCTGGAGTGGGCGGAATGACGATAAACCTTCACTAATTAATTCCCAGACTTGACTACGCTCAAGTATGTTGAGCCTGCTCCCATGGGTAGCAACGAGGAGCCTCGCCCGGTGACTACCACCAACGCTGAGTACGACAAGGGACAGCTGCGCCAGCTGATCCGTGGACAACTCATGGGAGTCGGCATGATGGGTGTGATGCACCTCTACTTCAAGTACACCAACCCCCTCTTGATCCAGTCGATCATTCCTCTCAAGAGTGCCTTTGAATCCAACCTGGTCAAGATTCACATCTTCGGCAAGCCTGCTACCGGTGACCTCCAGCGCCCTTTCAAGTCTGGCAACAGCTTCATGAACCAGGGCCAGGTCAAGACCGACAAGGCTTCAGTCGAGAGCGCCGAGAAGAACTGGCGGGGGGGTGTCAAGGAGGAGTAGATTGAGAGGCCTTGGGTAACAGACGCGCGAGTAGATCGCACATGTTTTGTACCTCTTGTATTTTATAGATGCCTTGCCATTGGAGCGGAGTCGAGTCGAGCTGCGTTGCTGCTGCTTTGCTTTGATCTTCACTTTTAATGTTAGTGCCGATGGGTTTACGATATCCTTTTCTTTTTTTCTCACTTTCATAGCCAAATTATTGGTAACTTCATTGGTAAACATGCTATCCTGCTGTCTATTTGTGAACTCATGTGCATGTATCTGCTTCAACATATTAAGCAGACGTCTTCATAATCGAGGCATATGAATGACGAAGTGGCGATGGAGTCGATGATTACTTCGCCGACTATGACCGAATTGGCCTGTATCCTTCTTGAACAGGATGCTATTTCTATTTGCAAGCTGAGTGAGATAATCCCGCAAATCCGCAAACCTGTCACCTGCAGCAGGGATGGCGGTAAAGACGGATTTGGATGTGCTTATATGTGGAGACTGGAGTCAGACCCCGATTATAGAAGCGAAGGGGGTTCCTCCGTTCGCTTTGACTGCCGGCCTATCCGCCTGCCTGAGGCCTTACTCCGGATCCAGGGCACCAGAAATTCGCCTCCGGAGGCTGATTCTGTATTTCTAATCCTTTCATTGTAGTTACTCGTAGATCATGCTATGCTCCATTGATGACTCGAAGACTGTGTGTCATCACTGCTGCCGCTGGTCGAACCGTTGAGTGTCACGATTTCTTTCTTTGCATTGCAATTGGAGATAATGGTTTCGCACAGAGCGGCAGAGCCTGTGCAGTCTTCCACTAATCACAGAAGAATCAAAGCCCGACAGAAAAAAAAAAAGAAAAAAAAATTCAATCTGGGACCCAGCGCGTGATGGTTGTTGACATGGTCGCCGGTGAATCTTTTCAGGCACCCTCGGTGTCAAGGTCCAGTTGAAGCTCTCCCCAGGCCCGCTTTCAGCGTCCCAGGCAATGGTCCAGCCAGGGCGGATAAAAGAGATGGAGGGGCACGATTGCCAAGAGGGGGGGGAGAAGGGGGGTGAGGATCATCATAAGCCCGAACCGAGCAATCCAAGCGGGCCGAAGCTGGATGCGGCAAATCTTAGTAAGATCATGGATGGACCGATTGCGGGCACCCGGTATCTCCTTTCAGTTGGGGTTATTGGGGTTGATGTTGGTGGTGGTGGTGGATGAATGAGTGTGTGAGGTTGTCTGAGTGCTCGGTACTCCGTACCTCGTACTCCAATGTGAGTGACTGAATGGGGGAATGAGAGTATAGTCGTGCCAGGGGGTGGTGGCCTGTTGTTACATCATTCCTTCAGTGTCTCTCCTCTTCTACCCTAACACATCATGGGTCATGGATCATAACACCACTCAATGCATCACCCTCGGCTGAGCCCATTCCCGTAGATGCGAGAATAACCTGTCTTTACCGGGGAGCAATCTGGCTCATAACCTAGGCTCTCCAGCATCACGAAAAGAGGAGTAAGTAGTAATTCCGACGATGCTGGTAAAAGATTCTCGAGAATTGGAGTGAGTACCCGGCGTGATAGCTTTATAGCTCGCTCATTGGCCCAGACGGCAGCTGCCGAGGGGAAAGGTGGGAAGTCTGGGAGGCCCAGATATCGTGAATCTCCTGCTTTGCCCGGTGTATGAAACCGGAAAAGGCTATGGGGGAACTGGGGAGCGGCGCATGTCGGGACAATCAATAGGGCAAATCCCACGCTGACCAGCTTGGCGCATTTCTGGGTGTTTCTGACCTTTCTGGTCAGTAGTGGTGGCAGAGTGGCAGAGCTTGCCGCAGCCTTTGCCCCGTCTGTCTGTTCGGTGTAGTGACCGGGTCGTTGCGTCAGTCGATTGTCTGTCCCGCTATCCTTTTTCTACCTTCCCCTCCCCCGCCTGTTGGGAAACTTTTCTTTCCTTTCTCTTACTCTCTCTTTCTTTCTCTCTCTCCATCATCATCTTCTCTCTCCATCTTTCTTCCCCCAAGTAACTTCATCCAAACAGTAAGTTCTTTCTTCCACAGCATCTATTCTTTCCCTGTTCTTCCCATCTGTGTATACTCCAGCTTCCTCCCGCCAAGCTACCGTTCCGTCTCCAAGCGCTCTACTAACCAGCTACCCCGCCAAACAGACACATCTACACAATGGCTCCCAAGGTACGCCTAATGAACGCAATGAGCTCGGTATTCATCGCGCTGTTACTCACCTAATCAATTCTAGGTCGGTATCAACGGCTTCGGTCGTATTGGACGTATTGTGAGTGGCCTTGATACTCTTGTTGCGAATGAGTGTCGTTCTAACAACCTCTCCTCCAGGTCTTCCGTAACGCGTGAGTATTATCACTGCGGCTCCAATGGATCCGGGCCTTCCGGGAACCAATTGGTACTAACAGCTTGTCTACAGCATCAACTCTGGTGACGTCGAGGTTGTTGCCGTCAACGACCCCTTCATTGAGACCCACTATGCTGTATGTGGTTGTCAACATCTGCCCCCAGCAGCAAAGAGTCACTGGCTGACGAGCTCGATGCTCATGGTGTAGGCCTACATGCTCAAGTACGACAGCACCCACGGCAAGTTCAACGGTACCATCGAGACCTACGAGCAGGGCCTCGTTGTCAACGGCAAGAAGATCCGCTTCTTCGCTGAGCGTGACCCCGCTGCCATCCCCTGGGGTCAGGAGGGTGCCGACTACGTTGTCGAGTCCACCGGTGTCTTCACCACTCAGGAGAAGGCCTCTGCTCACTTGAAGGGTGGTGCCAAGAAGGTCATCATCTCTGCTCCCTCTGCCGATGCCCCCATGTTCGTCATGGGTGTCAACAACACCGAGTACAAGAAGGACATCAACGTTCTCTCCAACGCCTCTTGCACCACCAACTGCCTTGCTCCCCTCGCCAAGGTCATCAACGACAAGTTCGGTATCGTTGAGGGTCTCATGACCACCGTCCACTCCTACACCGCCACCCAGAAGGTTGTCGATGCCCCCTCCAGCAAGGACTGGAGAGGTGGCCGTACTGCTGCCCAGAACATCATCCCCAGCTCCACTGGTGCTGCTAAGGCTGTCGGCAAGGTCATTCCTTCCCTCAACGGCAAGCTCACCGGTATGGCCATGCGTGTCCCCACCGCCAACGTTTCCGTTGTCGACTTGACCTGCCGTCTCGAGAAGTCTGCCACCTACGACGAGATCAAGCAGACCCTCAAGGCTGCCTCTGAGGGCGAGCTCAAGGGTAAGTACCGTGTGTGTGGTATATGGTCGAATCTCTTGCTGACCACCCAATAGGTGTTCTCGGCTACACTGAGGACGACATTGTCTCCTCCGACCTGAACGGTGACAGCCACTCCTCCATCTTCGATGCCAAGGCCGGTATCGCCCTCAACCCCAACTTCGTCAAGCTCGTCTCCTGGTACGACAACGAGTGGGGTTACTCCCGCCGTGTTGTTGACCTCATTGGTAAGTTTACTGATCGTTGTCAAGCATTTGTGAGCCGTTATCTAACCCGTGTGTACAGCCTACATCGCCAAGGTCGACAGCCAGTAGGAATCAGGACGGAAGGACCTCAAGAGCCTGCTTTGAGTGCGTGGCTTCAATTGCCTAGCTTCGGCTTGCTCTCATGGAAACCCGCTTTAGTAAAAGCATGTGATGACGTACTATTAATGAAATGACACAACTGTTCATATTTGTTCAATTATCTCTTTACCCGTAAATCTGGCGGCCTTGCGGCTTCTCATTGTAGTTGTATTTCTTTCCATAAGATGTGTAATTCTTCCCAAACATTGAATAGTATCGCAGCAAAGAATCGACTTTCGGATATGCAGTGGGGATGGCACGGGCAGACTGTACTTGGTTTAATACGCGTTGACTAGCGGGCAGTAAGCTTGTTATCGCCGAGCAGGATAAGTTCCAGTTGTCTTCCGCTAAACCGCGGCAAATTCTCGGAGCAGCGCAAGGTTGATAGTCGTTGTTGACCGTGCTTGAAGTTCGTTCTTATTCAACAATTATGCTGCTCAATTTCAATCTTCCGCATCAGAAGGTTCCTTTCAGCTCTTGATCACGTTTTCCGTCCGAGTCCGAGGAATTGTGAGGAAGTGGCCAGATTTGGGATTTGGAGGGCGGAGGTCACGTGGAGCGCAGCTAAACTGCGGAATTTCGAGCTCTACCATTGATTCGAGATTCTTAGTCCAGAACGCCTTCGCTGGTGTGCTTCGGTGGGTGCTTTTCTGTACCAACAGCCACGATTATAACCTCAGAGGAGAGCCTTGGCTTAAACACTGCCCCTCATCATATACCTGTCGTTGCTCATACGACGCCAGTCGTGCCTCATTAGTCGTTTGATTTCGTGGGTCTTCCCTGTGGTCCCCGGGCCTTAGTACAAGTGATCTAAAGTGCCCTTGTTACTTGTGATCCTGCCACCCTCCAAGATATCAAGCACACCTCCCATTCTTCTGCCTTGGTCCTCAACAAATTCGACAATCTCTCTCAGCTAGATCGTCTCTTCCGAAGCTGCATCCGCATTTTGACTTAACCTTTTTTGACTTCACTTAATCTTTCCCAGGGACATTTGTAGACCCTCTATTTCGCCCTTGGCTTGACCATGAGGTGTTGATTTGGCCCAACTGGAATTCGGTCAAAGCGGAAGTCAGAGAAATTGCTCCAGGCTCATAACGATGGCACTGGAGGGCGACGAAGACACCGTCATGGGTGAGGCGTGCAACCCAGGTGCGCCAGCCCAATTTGATGGGCCCTCTCAGCCATCGATTACATCTCCGCTGCTGGGTCAGACATTCAAGCTGCCTTTGTCGCGCCACCCACTCAACTCACAGCCTCTCTCTGCCTCTTCGAAGCCGGAGCATGAAGGCGGCATTTCTCCTCCCAAGAGCCTGCCAAAGTCTGTAGACTCCGGTGATGTGATTGGCGACGATGAGAAAAATGATAGTCTTGTTGAAGAGAATTCTGACTGGTCCGATGGGGATGCAGTCGCTCGGACTGGCCTCCCGCTCGCCTCACTTCCTTCAGGTTTATGCTATGATGTGCAGATGCGTTATCACTGCGAAGTGCGGCCCACTGCAGACGTTCACCCGGAGGATCCAAGACGCATCTACTACATATACAAAGAGCTGTGCCGAGCTGGACTCGTCGATGATCCCGAATCAAGTCGACCTCTCGTATCCCGACCTCTGAAAAGGATCAATGCTCGCAATGCTACCGAGGAGGAGATTTCCCTTGTCCACACGCCTGATCATTACGCCTTTGTAGAAAGCACTCAAGGTAATGATACCCCCCCCTTTGCTCGCAGTAACGGCGCGAAAGTCTCCTAACTAGCTGTGTCAGATATGACGGATGATGAACTCATTGCGTTGGAACATACCCGCGATTCCATCTATTTCAACAAACTCACCTTTGCTTCTTCAATCCTGTCTGTGGGAGGGGCCATTGAGACTTGCTTGGCCGTTGCTACCCGCAAGGTGAAGAATGCTATTGCTGTGATTCGACCCCCTGGCCATCACGCCGAGCATGACAAGACTATGGGATTCTGTCTGTTCAATAATGTCTCGGTTGCAGCGCGTGTCTGCCAGCAGCAGCTGGGCGAGAGCTGTAGGAAGATCTTGATTCTCGATTGGTGAGCCTAGCCATCCACTTGTACTTTACGTGATACTAACATGCTCAAGGGACGTTCATCACGGTACTTGACTAAGCCCTGATTCCTCACTTGGGTTGATTTGCATTGGCTTATATACTTGGCAGGAAATGGCATTCAGAAAGCATTCTATGATGACCCAAACATTCTCTACATCTCGCTTCATGTCTATCAAGAGGGGAAGTTCTATCCCGGAGGCGATGAAGGAGACTGGGACCACTGCGGTGGTGGTGCCGGTGTGGGACGGTATGGCATTCCTGCTTCTTTACATCACGGCGGTGGCTGACATTCAACAAGCAATGTGAATATTCCGTGGCCAAGTCAGGGAATGGGCGATGGCGACTACATGTACGCTTTCCAACAAGTGGTTATGCCCATTGCCCAGGAGTTCAATCCAGACCTTGTAATCAGTAGGTCGACCTTTCCTCTGGCGGCTCAAGTCTCCGAGACTGACAATTATAGTTGCTTCTGGATTCGATGCTGCCGCAGGCGATGAGCTCGGAGGTTGTTTTGTGACACCAGCTTGCTATGCTCATATGACGCACATGCTTATGACGCTTGCCAACGGCAAGGTTGCTGTCTGTCTGGAGGTTTGACCGTCTCTCAGTGAATGCATAGAAGCACCAGGGCTAAGATGAGATATTAGGGTGGCTACAATTTCCGGTCGATCTCGAAATCTGCTCTTGCCGTTACGAAGACTTTGATGGGTGACCCCCCAGACCGTCTGCATTCCACCACACCGTCTGAAGCTGCCACAACGACTGTGAGACGCGTGATGATGATTCAGTCGGCCTATTGGAGCTGCATGTACCCGAAGGCACCGCAACAGGAGGGGCACTTTACGGATCGACTCCACGGTAAGAGGATTTCACGGATTGCTCGATCGGAGGCTAACAAGTCTGCAGATGTCATCCGTGCTTATCAGTCAAAGCAGCTGTATGACAACTACAAACTGACATCCCTTTACATCTACCGTACTGCTATCTCGAAGTCATTTGAGAATCAAGTCCTTGCGAGGTAAATCGAGCGCTCGATGGGATACGATCCTGACTGACCGGTTACAAGCCCAAACTACCACCAGGCCAAACCTCTTCTTGTCTTCTTTCATGACCCGTGAGTATCCGCGGACAACGTGGGGGATCCTTTGCTGATGATGAGCAGGCCTGAGATCATGAGTCTGCCTCATCCGGTCACCAACAAATTAGAGGCTCATAATTGCTGGCTGGTATGTCGAGACTGTGAAGTGTTTCCGTCATCTGCTGACAAACACTAGGCTGATGTTTTATTGAAGGACTATGTTGGATGGGCCGTGGAGAAAGGTTATGCGGTCATCGACGTCAACATCCCGAAACATGTGACTATTGATCCTGTCAGTTTGTGATGTTCTCAGTCTTCTCATGGATACTGACTTCTTGACAGTCTTCCGGGAAGTACGAAGATGAAGACGAGAATAGACCTACCGCCACGGAGGAGCTCGCTGGCTATCTCTGGGATAACTATATCGAGTATGTCTTTACACCGCTAGCACCGAGCGGTAGACCTTTGATTGACATGTTTCTTTAGACCAAACGAAGCGACTGAGATCTTTTTCATTGGCATTGGCAACGCTTTCTACGGAGTGGCCAACCTATTAATCAACCGCGGTAAGATGAATGAGGGGTGTGCATGGATGTGAGACATGGCTAACGCCGGGACAGAGACATTGTACAAACGTGTCAACGGAGTGGTCTCCTTTGTGGCCGAGAACCCTGTTCGTGCGGTCGCCTCGCATACCCAAGTCTGGCTCTCGCGGTGGTACAAAGACGTAAGTTTGGATTATGAGATCCTTTTTTTTCCCCCCGATTCTCGGCTCGGAGCTGACAGCTAGCCTGGTGAAGAACTCGCTCGTATTCGTCTCGCACACGCACGGGGTGTGGACGAGTCTGCAGCGCAAGCCCTCCAAACGCTACGGCCTCCTCGTGCAGTCGCCCAAGGCGGGGCTGAGCGAGATGCTCATGCATCACAAGAACGAGGTGTACCAGTGGATCTCGGAGCGTGCGGACGTGGCGGATAGCGAGGAAATCGAGGACGAGAAGCCCAAGAGACGGTCGCCTACCAAGGGGGCTGCTACTGGGGAGGATCAGCGTGGACCGGGTACAAGCTGAGTTTCAGTTCCGGAATGCGCAGAAGTTAGATCTAGATATTGGTTATGGGGGAAGGGTAAGGAAAGGGGGCATTAGTGGATTCGCTTGTACCAAATCCATGCATAAATTCTTAGTTTCACCAGTTGAGTTTTTGGAAGGTCGGAAAAGGGACCATCGGCTATGCATACTCTATTTTGGAGTGGTGGTGTGATAGATGCCGTGTCTTGTAGTTGCCTGTGCCTCTCCAGGGTCTTGTCACGCCACCACCTACATTCAAGAGCGAACTCAGTTCGTTCCTGGCGTTGCATTGCGGCTAAGACACGTCGATCCTGGACCACCTACACGTGCTGTCACGGCCTATTTCCAGTGCTGCTGCTGACGATGGGGTAAAAAATTCAAATTAAATCCAGTAACCGAACCGTCCCTGCTCAGTGGTCCAGTTAAAGTACAGTCAGTGCCAGTACCTACACTATGACTGCTGTAGTCAGATTTTACCCCAGATTCCCACCACGAATCCTGTAAGCCATGGATGGATCAAGGGTCTACTCAATTCTATAGATAGTATCCTCCTGCCTGCAGATGGGCATCTGAAAAAATCGAACACGAGCCAAGAGACGCAGTCCAATTCTCCGACTCTCCAACCAACCCCCTTATTCCCTTCCATATTGTCTTGTTGTTCCCTGGAAGACCCTGGAAAAAGCAAAAGTGAAACCCAACCAAGTAGATTTCTGACCTCGAAGTTTAGGCAAAGCAGTTTAGGCAAAGTTCGACCAGTCTAAGGTTACTTGGGATTGTTTGTGTCTTGCCTTGTAGCATATGATTTTGACTCAGATCCTGCGCATGTGGGGTGATTCCCGAGACATCAGGGCTGACAGGTACGTACTATACTTCCTGAAGACTTGCAGGAGTTGTGGGGTAAAAGTAAGACATACCGTCGATGTCGATCTTGATCCATTTGTTGATGGATGGATGATGGAGTTGGAGGTGCGTGCGGGGTTCGGCTTGGTTGGTTTGGGTTGCGGGTGTGGCTGTGGCTTTTGTCTCTTTCTCCCGTTTTCTTGTTGTGAGTATATAGGGCGATCACATGGTCTTGTCTTGTTTTTGGTTTGGTTTCTTGGGAAGGGGAATGTATCTTGGGATAAGTGGTTTGGTGGTGGTGGTGGTGGTGGTGGTGGTGTTTGCATGTCAAGAATTTTCTGTTTCTATTTCCGTTTCTTCGCTGAAAATAGGATTGTGGAGAACCCTGGTTCGGGGGAAGTGTGAATGCTGTAGCATGTGGCACTGTCCTGTCTTTTTTAGATGGTGGTGGTGTGGTGTGGTTGATGTCTCTCGTGTGCATGCGAGTATACTACCTTAGCTAGTGGTAGAGTTATGTGGGTTTCCGCGTACAGGGCGTCTATTCGGTGCTTGGTACTTGGTACTTGGTACTTGGTATTTGGGTTGTGGGTGGAAGAGGACTTGGGGTGTGTACCGTACGTACCTATGGAGCTGGGCTTAGAGTGAGACATCGAGGTATGAGATGAGACATTTTAGGTAATTGCTTGAGGGGTTGGGCTTGGATGTTGATGTTGGTCTGGAGGAGAGGGAAATGTACAGCGATAGAGGCGATGTCACTTTAGCTTAACGAGGAGGATATCATGATGCTTATGCAAAAGGTATAAATACCACCCAGATGCTCGCTGGAGTCTTCAAAATAAGACTCAAATTCCAGCATTCAGCTTCACAATACCCTCAAGTCATCTCATCCAAGTATACCTAAGGTATCCATCCATCCATCCACCACCAAAAATGCACATCACCACCACCCTCCTCACCACAGCATCCGCCCTCCTCATCCTCCCCACCCTCACCGCCGCCGCCGGCAACGCCGTCGTCACCAACAACTGCAACACCCCGATCTACCTCTGGTCCGTCGGCGGCTCCGTCGGCCCCCGCCAGACCATCGCCCCCGGCGCCAGCTACACCGAGGCCCTCCACTACGACCCGGCCTCCGGCGGCGTTGCCCTCAAGATCACCAAGACCCCCGACGGCCTGTACGACGGCAGCCCCCAGCTGAACTACGCCTACACCCTCGACGGCGCCAAGACCTGGTACGACCTGTCCAGCGTTTTCGGGAATGCCTTCGCCGGCTCGGTTCTGAGTGTCAAGCCCAGCGATACGTCCTGCCCCAAGATCTGTTGGCCGAATGGGGTGAACCCGGGTGGCAGTCAGGTGAAGACTTGTCAGGCGGGAAGTAACGAGGTTTTGACGGTTTGCGCGGCTGCGTGTTAGGTTTAGTCTTTCGGGGATTGATTGGGGGAGGGAGAAAGGGGGGTAAGGGGACTGGTAGTTGAGCTTTGGTTGGGTTTGGCTAATGGAAGATGTGATTCAATGAGGGTTGATATTCAATAGCTTATGGAGAAGAACATGGTAATAGTCATGGTAATGGCGCCGCAGCTACTCCCTCCATCGTGAATCCAGTCCGGGACGTTCGGTCCTCTGCTTCCACCATGAACGAGGCGGCCCCGGTGTAGAATGCTCGGCCCTCGACTTGGACAACCACGGACGGTCGTCCCCCGGAAACGGATGACGGCGCGAGCTCCTCGACGATCTCCGCGCGGAATTCGTCCGTCTGGAAGTGATTCGACACGAGCGAGTTGTACGCCCAGCGCTGGCCGACGGCCCGGCGGCCCTTGGCGTGGGCCAGGGCCATGCGCGCCGTCACGCACGACCCCGTCGGCGACCGGTCGATCTGGTTGTCGGCGAAGTAGCAGAGGCCGGTCTCGGCGCCCGCGACGTCGCGCGGTCGGCTCCCGATGGTCGCGTCGACGATCATGACGGAGTAGAGGAACGAGAGCCGCGGGTCGTCCGGGTGCGTGACGGCGGCGACGATCTCCGGCCGGCGTTCGAGGTACGGTTTCAGCTGCTGCATGCAGCGGGTGGTGGCGTCGAGGTCGACGGTCGACAGGCCGCGGGTGAAGCCCAGTTCGGCCGCGTCGACAATGGCGTAGAAGGCGCCGCCGTAGCTGATGTCTAGGGTGATGGAGTCCCGCTGGGCGGGGAGTTCGGGCCACCGCGCGGCGGCGGGGATGGGAATGGTCAGTTGCAGGGCCGTGGCGTAGGCGGGCGTGGATAGGAAGGAGACGGGCCGCGTGGGGTCGGATCGCGTGCCCTCTGCGTTGGTGGGGACGGTGATGCTGACGACGCCGCAGGGGGCGTGCAGCCTCAGTTGGATGGTTTGGGTCGTGGCGTCGAAGGGGAGCTGGGCGCGCCGCGGGAAGACGTTGGCGTCGTGCGTGTCGACCAGGAACCGGCCCAGCGCCAGCGTCGCGTGCCCACACATGGTCGAGTAGCCCTCGTTGTGGATGAAGAGCACGCCCACGTCGGCCTCCCCCGTCGCCACCAGCTCCGTCGCCGGGCAGATGATCGCCCCGTACATGGCGGGATTCCCCCGCGGCTCCAGCATCAGTTGCTGGCGAATGTGGTCGTGTTGCTGGCGGGCTTGGTCTCGTTGGGCCAGCAGCGTGCCCGTCAGCTGGGGGTAGCCGGCGTAGATGATGCGGGTGGGCTCGCCGGTGGTGTGCATATCTATGCAGTGGATGGTGTTGGGGAGCTGGGTGAGCACCTGCGAGACGTCCATTTTGGCAGTAGTCTTCTCTGATTTGATTTGTAGTTGTAGTTGCTGTGATGTAAGGTAGTTCAAGCTACGTTACAAATGTATGGAGGTAGGTGGTCGATGAAAGAGGGTTGGGTAAACTGGGGTTGTTTGTAGATCTTATCGTGGGGATTGTAGTTTGGGGAGGGGAGGTTCCGTTCGGAGAGTAGATCCGGGGGCTGGCATCGGTTGGCGTTCCGAGTGGTGGCTCTACTTACTATAGCCAGTACTGAGGGTAAGTACCTAGCAGGTACCTACCTAGTAGTAAGTGTGTTTGCAACGGCAATTCCTTGTAGCGTAGCATCTCCGCGCCATGAGAAGTGTGGTCGTACAAGAAGCACGCCATTTCTCGAGTCAAGCTGAATACGAGACATTTTGCTGTCAGCTGCAAGGGCGTCGAGTGCCACTTGGCTGGGGAATCGGCGGTTTCGCGATGGTCTCGGCGCTGTTGCAGAGTGCCCTCATTTGGGACAGAAGCATGACGTGGAAGAACAAGAAGCACTCAGAGGAAGCCTTCTAGATCCACTCGCACCAAGACAGGAGTTTGAGCCAAGAGTGATTGGGCGATCATTCTCGAATGCTCGCTGATGTAGTAAAGTGCAACGACCACTTGCAGGGACACGTGCCCACTTAAGCCTCACCGCTCTCACCGCCTGAGTGTTGCCTCTCACCGCCAAAGCATGAATGCGTCTTACTGCCACTCCCTTCTTCCCTCTCTCTCTCTCTCTCTCTTGTCACTACTTCATCAATTAACAAACCTTACCTACTTTACATCTTCTCATTCTGGCGCATTGACTCTCTCAATTACGGGCCTGTCTTTGAAATCGGACCGGCTCGTGTTTTCTATTTCTCCCACCTCTCCCTAAATTCCTCTTCCTTAAATATTCCTTCCCTTCCTCTTTCCTCTTCCCCCACTCCCTCTCCCTCCCCCATCCTTAACAATACTTCACCCGGTACAGTAGCTGTTAGCGGCCGTTGCTCCTTGGACCACCTTCCTTGCACTGCATGCCTCCAAGGTCCTCTGCACCCTGCCGCTTGTGGAACCCTGGACATCCTCGATCTTTATCAACCCCAATTTATCGTTCGTTTTCCCGATCAGGCACCTTTGCGGCGGTAGCCCCTCATTCCTACCCCTCGCCACGCTTGTCCTCGCATTGCTGGGTCCGATCTTTTGCCTCCGGTGGACAGACTCATCGTCGCCCCTCCCTCCTTCACTCTTCCAAACCCGTCTCGCGTGCTCCGTTTGCCACTAGTCCGGTCACCATGGGTTCTACTAAGATGGGCACTGTCGAACGCATTGCGGAGGATCTGTTGAAGCCGGAGCTGGATGATCGCTCCTATCGCGTCATCCGCCTCCCTAATAAGCTCGAAGCTCTACTGGTCCACGACCCGGATACCGACAAGGCCAGTGCTGCCGTAAACGTCAATGTCGGCAATTTCTCAGACGCAGACGACATGCCGGGTATGGCTCACGCCGTTGAACATTTGTTGTTCATGGGCACCAAGAAGGTATGTGGTTGATTCCGGCGTCAGCATGCGGCCAGTCCGGCACTAACCTCGGCTGATGGCCCGCAGTACCCCTTAGAGAACGCATACAACCAATATTTGGCATCGAACTCTGGCATGTCCAACGCCTACACCGCTGCCACGGAGACCAACTACTTCTTTGAAGTGGCCGCCACGTCGCACTCTGGCGACGAGAAATCCGATGCGCCCACTTCGCCCTCGGCCACCCAAGCCAAAGGGCCCCTGCACGGGGCCCTGGATCGGTTCGCTCAGTTCTTCGTCGAACCGCTTTTCCTGGAGTCAACGCTGGATCGGGAGTTGAGGGCCGTGGACTCCGAGAACAAGAAGAACCTGCAGAGCGATATGTGGCGGTTGATGCAATTGAACAAGAGCCTTTCCAACCCCGCGCATCCCTACCACCACTTCTCAACTGGAAACCTGCAGACATTGAAGGAGGATCCGGAGAAACGCGGCCTTGAGGTTCGCAGTGAATTCATCAAGTTCTATGAGGCCCATTATTCAGCCAACCGGATGAAACTGGTTTTGCTGGGCCGGGAGTCCCTTGACGAGATGGAGGAGTGGGTCTCGGATCTGTTCTCGCACGTCCAGAACAAGGATCTTCCGCAAAATCGCTGGGATGACGTTCAGCCCTGGACGGCGGAGCATCTAGGAAAGCAGATCTTCGCCAAGCCGGTCATGGACATGCGGTCTCTGGACATTTACTTCCCTTTCATGGACGAGGAGCACTACTACGAGTCCCAGCCCAACCGTTACATTAGCCACCTGATCGGCCATGAGGGTCCCGGAAGTATCCTGGCTTACATCAAGGCCAAGGGTTGGGCCAACGGCTTGTCTGCTGGTCCTCTCCCCATCTGCCCTGGTGCGGCCTTTTTCACCATCAACGTCCGCTTGACCCCTGAGGGTTTGAATAACTACCGTGAAGTCGCGAGAGTCATCTTCGAGTATATCGCTATGATCAAGGAAGGTGAGCCTCAGCAGTGGATCTATGATGAGATGAAGAACTTGGCCGAGGTCGAGTTTCGCTTTAAACAAAAGACCCCCGCCAGTCGCTTCGCCAGCAACCTGAGCAGCAAGATGCAGAAGCCCCACCCTCGAGAGTGGCTGCTGAGCACCGGACTTCTCCGGAAGTACGACCCGGCTTTGATCAAGGAAGCCTTGTCCTACCTTCGGCCCGACAACTTCCGCATGCTCATTGTGGCTCAGGATTACCCCGGTGACTGGGATCAGAAGGAGAAGTGGTACGGCACGGAGCATAAGGTGGAGGATATTCCCCAGGACTTCATGGCCGACATCCGTAAGGCGTATGAGACCACTTCCGCGAACCGTCTGCCCGACCTGCACTTGCCTCACAAGAACGAATTTGTTCCGACTCGTCTCTCCGTCGAGAAGAAGGAAGTCTCAGAACCAGCCAAGACACCGAAGCTAATCCGGCATGACGACCACGTCCGTTTGTGGTACAAGAAGGATGACCGATTCTGGGTTCCCAAGGGCACCTTCAATATCTCACTCCGAAATCCTTTGGTGTGGGCTACTCCGGCCAACGTGGTCAAGGCCAGATTCTACTGCGAGTTGGTGCGCGATGCCCTCAACGAATACGCCTATGACGCTGAGTTGGCGGGCCTTGATTATTCCCTGGGTATTAGTATCTTTGGCTTGGACATCTCGGTGGGTGGATACAATGACAAGATGTCCGTGCTTTTGGAGAAGGTTCTTACGAGCATGCGTGATCTCGTTGTGAAGCCGGAACGCTTCAGCATCATCAAGGAGCGCCTGACCCGAGCCTATAAGAACGCCGAGTACCAACAACCCTACTACCAAGTGAGCGACTACACTCGCTACCTGACCGCAGAACGGTCCTGGCTCAATGAGCAGTATGCATCTGAGCTGCAACATATCGAAGTGGAAGACGTGGCTTGCTTCTTCCCTCAGATCCTCCGTCAGAACCACATCGAGGTGTTGGCGCACGGAAACCTGTACAAGGAGGATGCACTTCGTATGACCGACCTGGTGGAATCCACTTTGAAGAGTCGTACATTGCCCGAGTCGCAGTGGTACGTGAGGCGCAATGTCATCATCCCTCCTGGCTCCAACTATATCTATGAGCGAACGCTCAAAGATCCGGCCAACGTCAACAACGGTATCGAATATTTGTTGTACATCGGAGACATCAATGACGCGGTCTTGCGGGCCAAACTGCTGCTGTTCGCCCAGATGACTGATGAGCCTGCATTCGATCAGCTCCGGAGCAAGGAGCAATTGGGATATGTTGTCTGGAGCGGCGCCCGCTATTCTTCCACTACGATCGGTTATCGCGTCATTATCCAGAGTGAGCGCGTTGCTGGGTACCTTGAACACCGTATCGAGAACTTCTTGAGCATGTTCCAGAAGACGTTGGAGGAGATGCCGGAGAGTGACTTTGAAAGGCACAAGCGCAGTCTTATCAACCGGAGACTGGAAAAGCTCAAGAACCTGGGCTCAGAGACGAGTCGCTTCTGGTCCCACATTGGATCGGAGTACTTTGATTTCGTGCAGAATGAGGCGGATGCTGCCAATGTGCGGTCGTTGACCAAGTCAGACCTCATCCAGTTCTATAATCAGTTTATCAACCCTCAATCGTCCACGCGTGGCAAGCTGTCCATCCATCTCAAGGCACAAGCCACCGCTCTCGCGAGCACGCCCCAGCAGCAGAAGACCCAGCTCCTGACGCGTCTGCGCACGCTCTTGGAGAAAGCGCAATTGGCAGTCGATGCGGATCGCTTGGAGGCTGCATTCGCTGAAGTTGACGTGTCCAGCGGCGATGAACGTCTGATCGTGGACACAATGAAGACCGTCTTGGATGGAATGGGTCTTGCAGAGCAACAAACCAAGCAGGCCCTGGATTCGATGGCAAGCAGCGTTGGAGTAGAGCTGAAGCACATCGGCATTCAGCCCAAGAGGTTCGAAGGGCAGTCTGGCCAGACGGTCAATGGATTCGGCCAGGAGGCTATCACCTACATTACCAACGTTCCTGAGTACAAGGCCCGTCTCAACGTCAGCGCGGGCCCGAACCCTGTCACCGACATTAGCGAGTTCGAGGACTTTGATGCCAAGCTATAATTCGCACCCTCTGAATTTTAGATTCACCCACTTGCTACAACCTTCACTTCACTTATAATGATGATAGAAACTTTCTGCTGCCTTGTTGATATTGAGGCGTGATTCTGGAATGAGTACAGGACATCTTTGGGGACGCAGGATGAGGGGGTAGATAGAGTTGAAATCCATGGGATGTAGATTAGAGACATGATACATAATTGAAATATCTCGACCGAGCCCTGAAAGAAGACTTGAGGTAGATCATATATGATGATGTTGACGCCCCGTTGGGTTGTTTGCAACTGGGAAGTTAGGGTGGTCGGGGCGGTGGAATGTTTTCGCGGAGGGCAGCTCCGATGCCAATCGATTGATCGATCGAGCTGCGGCGGAGTTGATGCTCTCTCCGCCGGGCTGTGATCCACCTCGCGACCAGCACCAACAACAACAACCGACCTCCTACCATCCTTGTACCTGCCGTCACCCCCCCCTTCTTTCGTCACTCACTTACATCGCCTTGATTCATCCGGTTGAAGTTCAAAGACTCCCTATTTAGAAGGCGCATCTACCGACCATGTCGACCGCAACAGCGACGGCGATTCAGAGCTCTCGCCCGTACGTTCCAGACCTCCAGGGCCAGGCATGGACCAACAAATACTGACTCCTTTACTCTTTGACTAGTCCCATCGCTCCCAAAGACTTCTCCGCCCAGCAACCACAAACTATTCGTCTATATCCCCTCTCGAACTATACTTTCGGGACCAAGGAAACGCAACCCGAGGAAGATCCCTCCGTCCTGGCCCGCCTGAAACGCCTCGAAGAACACTATGAGAAGTATGGCATGAGACGGACCTGCGAGGGTGTTCTTGTGTGCCATGAGCATAACCACCCGCATGTGCTCATGCTGCAGATTGCGAACGCCTTCTTCAAGCTGTACGTATCCTTCCCGATCATGGAGTCTAGACACGCCGCAGTCACGACCGCGAGAACGACACAATTCATCCATCTAGAACAATCCAAGACTGACTCCTATGAACCGCGTTAGACCCGGAGATTACCTTCCCTTCGAAGACGACGAGGTCGAAGGGTTCAAGAAGCGGCTCAATGAGCGGCTTGCGCCCGTCGGATCGCAGTTCTCCGGCGAGGGGGTTAACGAGGACTGGGAGATCGGGGATACTCTGGCGCAGTGGTGGCGGCCCAACTTCGAGACGTTCATGTACCCATTCCTGCCCGGCCATGTGACTCGACCCAAGGAGTGCAAGAAGCTGTATTTCATTCAGCTGCCCAAGAAGAGTGAGTCTTTTAACCCTCAAGCCCAAATTTCATCTCATCTCATCGAGAGAACTGTGACTGAACCCGGCGGCAATGCAGAGGTCCTCTCCGTCCCGAAGAACATGAAGCTCCTCGCCGTGCCGTTGTTCGAATTGTACGATAACACTGCGCGGTACGGGCCGCAACTATCGGCGATCCCGCACCTGCTGTCCCGGTACAACTTCGAGTTTGTGGATGAGAACGATAACGTGGTGGCCGCGACGCCAGGCACACCTCTGCCGGAGGGCCATGCGCTCCGGACTAAAGTGCTGGCGGGCGACAGTGGTGATGGGCAGGACGAGGGGATGACGGATTACACTCCTGAGGGCGGGGAGAATGGCACGGTCGCTGCGTGAGAGTCGTTGGGATTTCCTTTCCGATGCTCAACCAAGGTGTGTCCTTTTGGGCCCCCGTCTGCTTCTTGTCCTTTCTTACAGGGATTTATGAGGATAGTGGGTAAGTGTGCTGTCCGTGGAGAGACATGCTTCCCCAGTCTGGAAACAACTCCGATGCTAGCAAGGGTTGGCAGTGCTGCATAGGCTGAGACTGACAATCCTGCAGGTAGATGCGAAGATTTTCTTTCCTCCTACCCTTTCCCCGCAGCTCAGCCTCGTGGGCTCCTTCCTTGCTTGATAGGTTTTTTTCTTGCTTTCTCTACGCTTCTCCTGTTGCCTGCTGCAAAAATAAAGATACGACGATGTTTCCCCATCTGGATGGCGTTTTCAAAGGAGCGAATATATTGTGATTGCGATTTTAATTTGATTTTTTTCTATGTCTACTTTCTCCTGTTGACGGGATCCGAAATATCTACACATACTTCCCTTCCAAGGTGGACAGTGCTCTGAATTCGTCGTACGACACAAATCTGGTTCCCTGGGTTGGGGTTTGACTTTCGGGAGATTCTCCGGAAATCCTTGTCTTGGACAGCTTCGCTACCTCGGCTCATGTCCTTGTGTGTGTGCCTGGAAGCCCTGGACAATCCGTTGACCGCTGCATCCCAAGAAAACTAGAGGAATGACCCCTGCCCTAGCCTGAACTCATTCCAGCCAACGTGGGAGTGGAGAGGAATAAAACGGAGCAGCCAGCTGACCAGCACAACAACCGCGTATAGACGACTATATCAAGCTCAACTATGGAGTAGTCTACAACAAGGTGAAAACTTTAAGGACTATGTATCTCCCATGAAACTCCGAAGATACTCCACCCCAACTCCCGGCCGGGCCCTAACGTAGGGGCAAGATACGTACTGTCAACTCCACTCGGAAATCATTCCCACCTCAATTGGGCTCAATTGAGCAGAGGAAGTACGTCGCACGGTATACGGTGGAGAAAACTACATCGTATCGAATGCCGACCGAGTCCATCCGCGCCCTGTGGGGGTAAATAAACGCATAGGCTGAAAGTACACTGAATCGGGGTTGGCAGTATTGCTGGTATCTTCATCCCTGCTGGGAATTAATCTCGCCGACCAAAAACGGGTGTAGTCTAGTATACCGTTGTCTGCCTTAGCGCAGAAGCTATAGTGCAAGTGCAAGTGCAAGTGCAAGTATACGGTGTTTGTTATCCTGCACGGGATTTACTTTTCGGTCTTTCCCCACAACACCCTCTCCCCCCCCGCAAGCTGTTCTAGTGTCTGAGCCAACGGGAATGGCTGTTTAATTTACAGGTTGTGGATTGGGAGTACGTGGTGGTCGTGGATGTGGGTAGAACGACGAAGTAGACTAAAGTGTCCGGCACATGATTTTAGGTAGTATAGTCTAGTCTAGTATCCTTAAAAGAGATGCCGAGGGAAGAGGGGCTGGCTGGGGCTGCAGCCTGTAGGTTAATGCAGAAAGAATATGGGGTAGGCGTTCGAACGGGATTAAAATGAGGGGGAATCGGGGCGGGGGACACGGGGTGAAGAATTGTGATGTCATTTCTTTTGGGGGGGGAGTATACTATCACTTTAACTTTGGATAAGCATACAGTAGTTTTGTCAAAAACTGTAGAGGTTGGGGTTCTTCGATTCTGGGGTTGAAACTGGAGGAGAGGAGAGGTATTGTAGGAGGGAAGAAGGTTGATTGTTTCTCCCAAGAGTACTCCGTATACACTAAGCTACGGACTGGGATTAGCTAGGACAAAGGAACAACAGGTCTCAGTCCAAGAACTACAGCGTCTAGAAGAAAGGAAAGGATCTTCGCTCTTCTTCTGAGACAGACACACCTCTTGTGCTTTTTGTTTGTTCGGTGCATCCCTCCCTCCCATCGGAAGGATCAGATTCCCTGAGGCTCCGTCCGCTTCGGACCTTGAACTACGACTTGGTTGACGGACACCTGAAGCATGTGAAATCGGGTCTGCGAATTGGGTTCCATGCCAGTCACGGTGGTTTAGGGAGCTGTACTATACATACCTACAGTCCAGCGGACAATGAGTGGTTGCTTCGCAATCGGCCTGAGCGTGATCATTTCTCTGGCCGGGGACGAATGACGGCCGCCGTGTTCCTGGTTTTTCTTGTTTGCTTGCGAGTGCGTGCGTGCGTGCGTGCCAGCCCGCGCGCTTACGCCTCAGCTGCCCTTGTAGTCTTTAGGTATACCTTGCCTATGGGTTGAGGGCTGATGTACACTCTCGCTATTCCGTCGGTTGATGCTCTCTTCTCGGCGAGGTCTTCGTTCCGTTTTTCTTGCCCTCTCTCAGCCTGTCTATGGATCTCATCCGGATCCAGTTACCATCCGCGTGCCCCCGAATCCAGAGAGACTCGCCCACTTGTTCACTCTATTATACTTTAGCATGTAGAGCTTTAGCCCACTGTGGTTTTAATCTTATGAGGAATCATTGGATGCTGAGGTGGCCCGGAGAAAGTGGACTGATGATGGTCTCTACGTTTACCGCGGTGGATATCCTTCGTTGTGGGGGTGGTGGAGCCTGGCATTCCAGAACACAACGGAGTCCGCGCAGGAGTCCCTCCTTTCTATGCCTTTGACGCTGACGCCGAGGTGTCCGGGGCCAAGTACTCGTTTCTTCCGGAGGGATGCGTCTCTCTCTCTCTGGAGCTAGGATAGGGAGGTGGAGCCAACCACCGGGTAGGGATAGAGGGTGTTCGTGATGTGCTTGGGGGTGACTGTTGTTTTTTTCCCCTACCCCGCTCATTCTGTCTCTTCTCTGCGGAATGCTGGGGGCCTTCATTGGCGTTCTGATTGAAGAGCTGATGGAGGGGTTTTTTCTTTTTTCTTTTTTCCTTTTTGCGCTTCTTGGCCTCGGCGTGAAGAAAGGGGGAGGGGCCGAATTGGCACGGAGTGCTAACTGTATATAAAGAGTCATGGGGCGAGAGGGATGAGAGAGTCTCGTTTCGTTCTGTGCTCTGGATGTGCCGGTGTTGGTGAAGCGTCTGCGTCTGCCGATATTCCAGTGCCATTGACGCTGCTCCTTGCTTGTTCGTTTTGGTTATCGACCTGATCTGAATTGATTGTATTGTATATATACTCCAAACCGCAAGTATGGTATATATTACTCGGTTGGGCGGAGTGGTGGCCGCTCTTGCGGCCTTGGTTGTGGCTGCTCCGGTCGATATTCGAGGTGAGTGTATACCTGGGATCAATTGCAAGATAGGTGATGGAAGAGAAGAAAGTGCTGATGAAGTCGAACTGCAGATGTCTCGACCACTGTCTACACGCAGCTGGATCTGTTCGCGCAGTACTCCGCCGCGGCATACTGCTCGACCAACCTCGATTCCCCGAATACGAGCGTGACTTGCACGAACGGACTTTGTCCGTTACTCGCAGCCGCCACGACCAAGAGCCTGGCTGAGTTCGAGGCGTATGTTTCTGCCTGCCTGGATGTGACGCGCGGATGTGTGGAATAGAATTGGACTGACTGAATTGCGCACGTGTAGATCCGATTCCTACGGCGATACAGCGGGATTCCTCGTGGTTGACTCCACCAACAAGAAACTGGTGGTGTCGTTCCGCGGAAGCAGCTCGATCGAGAACTGGATAGCCAATTTGGACTTTATCTTCACGGATGCCAGCGCGGTCTGCAGTGGCTGCCAGGTTCACCAGGGCTTCTGGAAGGCCTGGAGCTCCGTCGCAGACACCCTAACAGCGGAGATCGCGTCTGCGGTCACTGCGTACCCCGGCTATAGCCTGGTTTTCACGGGGCATAGTCTGGGGGGCGCGTTGGCGACCATTGGCGCGACGGTGCTGCGGAATGCGGGATACTCCGTTCAACTGGTGGGTTTCTTCATGCGGCAGGAGCTGGTGACAAGAAACGTTCTGTTGCTGACGAAAGGACAGTATTCCTACGGAGCTCCACGAGTGGGCAACACGGCGCTGGCCAACTATATCACGAGCAAAGGCTCTGGCTCGAATTTCCGAGTGACTCACCTCAACGACGTCGTGCCTAGGCTTCCACCCAGGTTGCTTGGTTATAGTCACCCGAGCCCGGAATACTGGATCACCAGCGGAACTGGCGCTGCAGTGACCTCGTCGGATATTGATATCATCCAGGGTGTTGACTCTTCTGCTGGCAACGCGGGGGAGAATATCACGAGCGTGCTGGCGCACCTGTGGTACTTCATCAGTATTGGCACTTGTTGATCGTTGTATATATGTGAGGTATGAAAATATGTGGGTATATAGGGGAATGAGTATATATGATGCATGAGGTATGCGACACGAAGCTACTCAAGATAGCCTTTTGATAACAATTCCTTGGTTTCTCGATGTTGTTGGACGTGTGGTTGATGATGTAGAGGATTGGCTTGAGGTGGTGGGAAGTAAAATATGTGCGTCACGTGGTTAGACCACTTGGGACCGCTAACACATGTCATGTCTGTTTGTCTGGGACGTTATAGTGTTTGTTGAAGAAGGACGAAGGTGTTGATGCCCTCGGTCAAGAGGTACTAACACTACACATACTCTGGTGTGTTGGTGAATGAAAGTCATCACAGGCACGATTGCTTGAGCAAATACAGCGAAAAGGCTCCTCTTGAATTTTCTGAAGGGTTACAGTTGGACAGACGAATCCCGGACTCTTTTTCGATATCAGAAAATGTTAATTGATACGTACTCGAGTTGGTGGATCTACAGAGTGAGTGTCGCGGGAAAGACATAATCATATACGGAGTATATATAAAATACTAAAAACTTGAATATATACCTGTTGTGCTCCTATCCAATGCCTGAAATAATGAATATGGTTATTAGAGCCGACAGACGACGCAATGCAGCACGTCTACAAGCATTTCCAACAGTCCTATTTCTTCTCTCAACATGACAACCCAATTCAAGACCAAAGGTAGGGGGAGAGAGGTATTCTGGCAGGTTTCAAGAGTCAAGAAGACCGATCAATTGCATCAGCACGTCTATACACTCGAATAACAAGAGAGTCAGGGAAGTACACTTATAAAATTAAGGCTAACTGCCATATAATTTCCAAGGGAACCATATCCATATGGACTCCACTGCCTCCCGATCTACTACCACCCCGATCCTTGATCTTGTTCTCATCAACGATTTGCAACTATCACAGCCGACACTGCACCGAAATAGTATGGCTTCCATTTGCTGCGCCCAGAACACTCTTTCGGCGCGTTGAGTGTTCTAGGAAATGCTTTCTCGCTCGCCCCTCGCGGGCGTCCTCTTACGCCGTAAGTTGTTTCCTCTGCTGATTATTTGGTAGAATGCAGACTCCAGAACCCCGACCGTGAGGCTAGACTCTTGTTAATCTGTATGGAGAGACTGTACTTATTTCGTCGAACTTCTAGGACATTGGGACACGGTGGATCCCGTTTACTCTAAGCCCCAGAGCATTGATTAGCCGAGGATCTTTCTGACCATTCCAGAAAGGTTTTTGGTTATTGACGTCCTCTGCGCCTCCCGATCCTCTGCCATCGGGAGAAGGATAGATAGTATCCAGATCAGTATCGCTTTAGAAATAGGTGACTGATCTTAACCTACTTGAGTCCGTCGATGGCTAGATCGAATGCAGGCTGGCTTGGCCCATCTTGCATATGTGCCTCTGAAAACCCGCTGAGCTCGGTAGCCACCGCCAAATCACCGTTTGAATTGGAGACGAGAAATTCGTTTCCTTCTGAGCCCCTGTCAAATGAATAGTGGTCGAGATTTTGCTCGCCATCTAGGCGCACCTGATGCTTTCTCTTTAAGGGGAAAGCGACTCGAAATAGATTCTTAACAGGAATATCCGGGCCATATGAACGGAGCGATGAGCCCCCGAAGTCTTGAATGTTTTTTGGGTCACCCATGCAAGCACGTATTGTAGCGTCGTATGACGAAACTCTGCCAGGTAAAAGAAATCGTATGGTTATCATAAGCATGACACGGTACTTGGCTCGAGGGATATCCTTCACAAGAAAGCAATACATTTGGCGCTTGGATGAGATAAGATGACCTGTCATGCATGAAGGGTTGAACCCTGGTTCTGGTAACGGACCTGTGGTCTGCGAGGTAAGGATTGGGCCGCGGGCAGTAAAGACTTTGTGTACATGCCCTCTCATCTCAGTTGCTGGCTGATGGCAGTGCATGTGTAGACAAATATCCAAACAGACCAGACAGTGGATCCACTTGGCATCAGCGATTGACTGCCCGCAAAAATCACACGTCGGATTTACAGGCATCGGTATGACCGAAGTGAAACTTAATGGGCACACGATGGTGTGTGGTAAAGATGCCCTCTCTCCAATCTGCTCTCTGTGAGTGCTAGGTTGATTCAAAGATGCTGTCATATAAGGGAAGTTGCCCCGGTTGAACACAGGGCTAAAAGGCCCCATCGGACGCAGTTCTTGAAATTGCATTTGAGCTTCATTTGGCGCCAAAACAGGAGACTATGAAGAAAGTAGTTCCTGGAAAGACCGAGGTCCTTGAGAGGACAGTGAAACTTGATCTGGTGCCAAGTTTAGTGATATTAACGAACAAGATAGCTCTTGGGAGGACTGGGGTCTTTCGAATGTTCGAGGAGCTCCACCCGGCGCCAGATCGAGAGAGTTCATGTGAGAGGGCAAATAGCTGAAAGGCTCTTTCGACTGTGGTATATCTGTAGGAGGTGGAAGCATGTTGGTAGAGCTTGTGAGTTTGGAATTGCTTGCGAACACATCTGACCCTGATTTTGAATCATATCGATCGCCAAAAACCTGTTGAAGAAATCGTTCGTTCTGCATGTCCCTCGAAGATGAGGCAGGCCGTGTGCTTGGGAACGACCCTGAGGTGCCTTGCAGAGCTTCTTGAATGCATTAAACCACGTCAAAGTAACAATAAATCTGGCTTCTTATGATCTTCACCATAGAAGAATGATTTCCTTGTACTTCATGTACACTCTCTATTGACGGAAGCTTCAGGACGGCCGAATCATAAGACACCATTTTGACTGGGGCACCCTCCCGAACTCATTTCCGGGCCTCATTCTGATTCTGGTTACTTGGCAGGTCCATGAACTTCTGAGTCGTAATTCGAAACTCACCTCAACCAGTTCTTGTTTCCTGGTTTTCATAGAATGTGTGTATTGAAAAGTGGGTCAAGACAGTCGCTTTGCAAAGGGCCGCGTCTAGTTTACGTAGAGTTGGCGAACCTGGCTTGAGCTGATCAACAATGGTTGAAGATGGCTGTCCTTTGACCATAGTTTGAAGAGACTCATGGACTAGTCCATGATGCGGAACCCCGAAGAACAGCACAGATCGAATGGAAAATTGGCTGCGCTGCGATTAATCTAGCTTGGCGATAAACTGTTAAAGAAATGGAAGAGTCAGTCAGAGCGAGAAAGACAGCCCAAGCACGCGCAGCGCATGATATGTTGAAACATTGGGAGCAAACCTCCTTGATGACCAAGCCACCTAGATTATGGCCCTGTGTGACGCCTCGTTGTGTCAGAAGCCTCAGATTTCTCCAACTCGCGGGTCAAATGGACTGACAATTGGAATAAGTGGACGTTTCTGGCACTCCAGCGGGTGTCAGTATGAATGCATGTAGTGCACGACGAGAGAGTACAATCCAGTCACTTACGGCCCCGAAGCGGCGAAATGACAATAGCCGCTGTCGAAAGGTCTCCGCATGATCCTCAAGAATACTTGTGGCCTGAGTGGCTCCTTGCACTTGGGCGGAATATCCATAAATCATCACCCGCACTGCAGGGAGATGTTGAGGAAGGAGGTCCCGCAGCCACATCTTGCCATCTTCATGCCTCCACGAGCCGAATGCATGCCCTGCTAAGCCCGTGACAACAATGACGCTAGTCTCCGTAGAGTAAGACTCTTTGTGTCAATTGGCTGCTGTACACCAACCTCGTGTATTATCTATGGAGACTTACTCTGCAACACATTCACCCCTAAGGTGATTCAATGGAGTGTACCCGAGTTAATCCTTCCCAAGAACAAGATCAGTATTTTCAGGATCGCTCAGCATCGGCTTTCGAGCCTCTTGGGAATAGAAATCAATCGTTGCTGTCATTGTATTTGATTGGCCGGGTCCTCCACCATAATTCATGACATCTGGAACGAGGCTTTTGATGCTCAGGAGCTCTCTGTCTTCGGGAGAAAAAGCCTCGCTCAACCTGTCTGCTGTCCAATTCTGTGGAATCTGCTCAACTCGGTACGTCATACGGAATCGCTTGCACTCTGACATGGTAGCAGGGGCTATATTTTATGAAGGGGCTTCGAAGGACAAAGTGGCGGTTCAAAGGCCATGGAAGATATTCAGAGCGAGAGAACGTCAGCAGGCATCTTAAGGCACTGATGTCCATCTAAGTGGACCCACCCGCAAGTGGTAAACGATGCATGGGTCCACGGTCTGTAACCATACAAAAGTACCATACATTGGTGCGTCTTTTGGACAAATGACAGCTTCCCGCCCACATCTCCATCTCATATGGCCCATATTTCTGGCCTAGGACCGCTGCAAGTTCATCACAGACACCTGTTCTGTCACATGTGGGGGCCCTCCACCTCGTCGACTTTTCTACTTGATCTACGAAATACTCCCGTACTGAATGTGTGTTTATTTATCCGTGTATACTCCTCAGGTACGAAGTTTTCTAGGGCTTCATGTTCAGATTCCTCATTATCTGAATTCCTGCGCTTGATAGCCAGGGCTACTCTCGAATTAGTACCTTGGTGGCGGAGATCGCTTGCTCAAGAAAGGAGCTTCTAAGCCAAGCCACTTACCAATGGAATACAAACACACGGTGGGTTCCAAAGGCCTCTTTGAGCTCCGGGTGGTAAGGATTCTGCAAAACCATTGACTGACCATGATGTTGAAAGCTATCCCCGCCTTTTTCTCAAACCATCTCATCGGACCTAGCTGGCGAAGACAAGGCGTGGAATATCGTCTTACCGGCAACAAGTCACGGACGAAGCCATTGCATCGCTCGAACCTCTGATCACGATGTGAGTTCGTTCGTGTTGGCCGATTTGGATGTCTCGCGCTTGAACGCGATGCATTCACATCTGTGATACGCGGGTCGGGCACGCTGCTGTCGAGCGCTGCATCGACAGCGGATGATTGACCGACAGATTGTGATCACCGAACAGGCCGATCTCCACATGGTCCGGTATGAGTCGCGGATTTTCCTCAAACCCGTACCACGCTATCTCCTGGACGACCAATTCTGGGACCGCCACATTCGGCACGAAGCGCTCCACTCGGCTGCCTCGGGCTCCCTTCTTTCCTATACGTGGTTGATCAGTCATCCGAGTGATCTGCAAATTGCACATGAGCTGAAACTGATTCCAGCCACGGTCAGGTGGCAAGCATGGACGGTCTTCGTGGAAGATCTCCTTTCCCACGTTGACTTCAAGGGCTATGCCAATGTCAACAAGCGCTATCGCTATGGCGAGCTTCGCCTGTTTCGCTTGAGCACCATCTATCGATTGACCCACCTCTCCCTCGAGAGCCTCCTTGGAGGCTATCTGTCCATGTACGACCAGTATGCCGTCTTCTTTAGAGAGAAACTCGCGTGGTCCCTCGTGGCGTTCTTATATGTGAGCACGTTGCTTGCCGCTTTCCAGCTCTGCTTGGCCACCGACCAATTCCAAGGGAATCAGAATATGCAGAACGCATCTGTGGTTTTTGGTGTCTTCTCGATTTTCTTACCCGCTGTGGTGGCAGGGCTGGCCTGTGTGGCTTTTGTGTTGATATACATTCTGCATTTCATGCAAGCGGTCGAATTTGGAAAGAGACGGAGGGATCCATGATCTTGATAGATGATCAAAGCATACTGTCTGTACTTTAGTGTATACAACTGCTTGTAGTAGTAGTTATATGTTGATGGGCTGGAAGTAGGGCTGAGCCGACCAAACCAGACCCGGTGCGGACTCGGCCAATTATTCTACCGATTACTGCCAAGCAGCATTGCTGATGGAGTTTACCACGGAGAGGGAGCACAATGTCTCCAATAGTGAAACCACCATGTGGCTTGACACCACCTCCTCTTCTTCTAGGCAACATAAGCTGCCAGCTGTCGCCAACTCGCTTCTTCCTTGAACCTCAACTACCTTAAGGACAACGCAATTCCTCATCACTTTGAAAGTGCCATCTACAACCGCAAACTCCTCACATCCACCGCTGCGCATTCCCATAAACCCCCGGAGCTCCACTAAACCGAGTTGTTGCCCGCTCCGCAACACACCGACCCGACAGCTCAGCGATCGGCCTTCGCGCAGCCATGCTTTTTGCGCATTGAAACGTCACTTACTCGGATATTTAATCGCTGCTTGCGACCATAGAGAATACCGGCATATGCTCCTGTATCCCGTCCGCTGTGTGTCACCTCTACGCTGCCGCCGGTCGCAACCATGTTGTTCTTCGGCAGCGGAGTCTCAAGCCCGCGCCGCCGCAGCCAAGAAAAGGCCATCCTTTGCACCATCCTGATTATTTACGCGCTATACTTCCTCTTCTTCTCCAAAAGCTCCGATCATGCACATATAGATACATCGGCCCACGATGCGGTGTCAAAAGGCGGACCGTACCGCGATTCGCGCTCCGGGCAGGCTGCGCCGTCTGCATCGGCCGCGCGAGTGTCTAAAACCCTTGACAGGGAGATGGTGGTGGCCAGCATGAAAAATGACGATGTTTCATGGCTGTACCAGTATTTCCCTGAATGGCACAAGAGCATCTATGTCGTAGACGACAAAAAGGCGCATCTGACAGTCAAGCTGAACAAGGGCCGGGAGTCCATGGTCTATCTAACGTGGGTCTTGTGAATCGTTCAGGATGGTGTGAAGCTGGTGCTAATAGGAGTTTTCTCCAGATACATCATTGACAACTACGACAGCCTTCCCGATTCGATCCTCTTCATCCACCCTCAGAGATACCAATGGCATAATGACGATCCCTATTACGACGGGGTGCCGGTCCTCCGCAATTTCCAGCTTCCCTACCTGCAGAAACAAGGCTACGTTAACTTACGCTGTGCCTGGATCCTCGGCTGCCCGGCGGAGATCCACCCGTACACCGATTCGCATCGAGATGACGTCCATGTCGGAGAGTATTTCAAGAACGGATTCAAGGAGCTCTTTCCCGGGGAGGAGGTGCCGGAAGAAGTGGGGGTCTCGTGCTGCGCGCAGTTTGCAGTCACCAGCTGGAAGATCAGACAACGGCCCAAGAAGGACTATGAACGATTCAGGAAGTGGTTGACGGAGACCAAACTCCCAGATGATCTCAGCGGACGTATCATGGAGTACTCATGGCACAGTATGTTGACCCTCTGCCATTAGTGGCTATATGCAGGAGACTAACATGCAGGCAGTGATCTTTGGCAAAGGACCTGTCCATTGCCCGACGGCTGAAGAATGCTACTGCAGGGTATTTGGCTTGTGTAACCTGGTTTGCCCTACCGAGGGAGAGTGCGCTGGCCGCTATGTTCTCCCGCCATACTCATCTCTACCTGAAGGATGGCCGTACATCGGATGGAAGGGCCAGAAACAAGACCCCAGCAAGGGGCTACCTGAGACATAGGCGTACTAAGTCCAGTGTGATCGTCAGGGAAATTATGCCAAGCAATTACGTCTCGATCTGTGGTCAGCCTGAGTATACACATGTCGGTGTCGACTACATTGAGCAACAGACCGGCCTGTCTGATTGAGACGGGCCATCAAGCCCCGGTTGGAAGAGCGATGGCCCGGCGATTTCTGCCGTCCGTGGCATCAATCGCCCTCTCTCCATCTATGAATGGGGGAGGACAACCCCCCCAAAGATGCCATCTCTGTACATATATCATACCATAATTGGGATCCGACTTTTTGTCAGCTCGCGTTGGAAGTGCCAGTATAGGGACTAAGCCATAACCCGCGCTGACTGATGAGGTGTGGTGATGGTGATGCGATGATGTCAAATGTTCTTATATGAATGAAAAGTACCCACTCTGATAATACATTCAGCGTTTAGTTCCTTCAAGTTTCCAAAATGTAACCTTACAGCCTGAAACCCTGTTTTGTTCATACAGGGTAGAACCTCCCCCCACCAAATCTACAGCAGCCGAGGCAGCGCGGCGGAACCGGGAGCTTTCCCCGCGCGAGCGCAAGTCCCCGAAACAACAAATCCTCCCCTCCTCCAAGGCTCAAACAACCACCACCTCCTACCTAGTTACCTTCCACCTCAACCACTCGACCCAACCAACAATCACCAAACCCCAACACCACAAACCCCCCACAGACCGCAAAACAAAGATGTTGATAATCGGTCTGACCGGCTCCATCGCCACCGGCAAATCGACCGTCTCCTCGCTCCTCTCCTCCCCGCCTTACTCCCTGCCCATCATCGACACGGACCTACTGGCCCGCAAAGTCGTCGAACCAGGCACGGAAGGCTACAAAGCCATCGTCAACTACTTCGGCCCGACGACCCCGGACCTCCTTCTCCCGCCGTCCCCAGACTCCTCATCCTCCTCATCCCCCAATGACACCCTCCCCCCCACAAGCGAAAGCGCCCCCCGCCCACTCAACCGCCTCGCCCTAGGCCGCCGCGTCTTCGGCACAACCGAGGACCGCAAACGCGACCGCATGATCCTCAACAAGATCGTGCACCCGCTCGTCCGCCGCGAGGTCTACAAGGCGCTCGCGTACTACTACGTGCGGGGCCACTGGGCCGTCGTCCTCGACGTGCCGCTGCTGTTCGAGAGCGGGATGGATCTGATCTGCGGCACGGTCGTGGTGGTGGGCGTGCGCGACCCGGCCGTGCAGATGCAGCGGCTCCGCGCTCGCGACCCGCATTTGTCGGTGGAGGAGGCCGAGAATCGCGTCCGGAGTCAGGGCGATGTCGTCTCCAAGGCGGCGCGCGCGGAGTGGAGGGGCCAGCGCAGGGGGCTGGTGGTGTGGAATGATGGCGACAAGAAGCAGTTGGAGGGGGAGGTTCGGCGCGCGTTGGACGTGGTGCAGGCGTCCAGTCCTAGGTGGTGGGCTTGGGTGCTCTTGGTGCTGCCGCCGGTTGGGGTCGTGGCGGCGGTGTGGAATCTTGGGGTGAACTTTTGGGGGAGGAGGGGGTGGGAGGCCGGGGAGAGGGAGAGGGAGAGGGAGAGGGTTAGGGCGAAGATTTGATGGGCTGGTTGGTTGAGGGGGCAGGGGGCTCTGGTGTTGGTTTTGCTAATGTGAAGGCTTTCTCGGCGTTGGGGGTTACTGTGAGTATGGTGCTAGACTTTCGGTCGATGCTTTTGTGGATGTATTGTTGGGCTTGGGTTTGTGTTTTGGTAACGAATTATTTAGTTCTCAACTGTTTGGAAACCTGCGAGATGAGTTACTACCTGCCAGGTGGTATAGTTCAGTTGCTGCATTTGAGGTGATGGCCTGGCTTAGATGCTGGTTCACTTTGCCATGTGATTTCCACATCAGGCAGGTTGGGACTACGCCGTCCTCATATCCCGATCACTACTTGAACTCCAAGCCATCAATGCCGCAGAAATTATCGAGTGTTGGCTTTTGTCGTCAGGTATGTATATTTGAAAGCAGCTAATTGAAGCAGAGTTTCTAGATTCTCATGGCTCTCCAGACTGACGGCATCCAGAACAGAACGCCGTGTTTCACTTTCTATGCTCGCTGCGAACCATATGGGACTCTGCGGCTTGACCCCGGATTACGAAAGCTGGGTGGAGTCCAGGAACGGCCGGCTGCGAAGTCTGCGACGTCAACAAGATCCCACAGCTACCAGGGTCCTTCTGCCGCCAGGATATGTGATCCAGTGTGTTCGCGAAGCGGAAGAATCGTCCAGTCACTCATCAGTTCAAGAACGAGGTTGGAACATATCCATTGATGAGAAAGAGCCGCCTTCTGACTTGTAAAGACATACCAGTCGCATCAGATCCTGCTAGAGCGAAGACCAACCTCCATATCGAGATCCAGAAAACTCCTCGCCCAGACGAACGCCACGAAGAGGCTGCGCCAAAATCCCAATCAAAGTGCCACCTTGAAGCACCACGGATCCTCACTCTTGAAAGAATGCCTAATGGACTATATAAAGTGCGCAGACCCCACCACTCCAACGAATCGAGCATTATAGATATCCGAGCTTCTCGGAACCTGAAAAAGCCCACAGCACTGCCTTCCTATCGGGATAAATCCACCTGGACGGGACCCAGTGGAAGAGATGTTATCGTGATCAACTCATCACACAGCAGGCAGCTTAGCAGCAAGACGAGCAGCAGGAGGAGCGGGGAGGCCGGGCGCGGTACACCTGTAGAGTCTCCACGCAGAGTGCGGTTCTATAGAACTGCAGACAATGATAATGTCCCCGATAATGAGACCGTGAACGGCAAGGTTTCGAGCTGGTTGCTGCAGGATGACGAATTCTGGTGACGGAGTATTTGTCGACACAGTCGTTCTCCCCTGCCTTGACCAAACCATCCATAAGATCGCCAAGAATTGTGAGTATCCACGGAAGAATTGCCAGATCCACAGAATATCGATAAAAGTCCATGTCATGTATGATTTGATCCACTGTGTCGCGATGCATGTTTGTATTTATTTGTGCTTGCGCTTCTTCTGTTTCTTGTCGCCGCCGCCGCCGCCTCCATGGCGTCCTCCGGAAATACTCGTCAGTGCTGACAGTTTGACGGGCTGAGGCTTGTTCTTTTCCTTCTTTTGAGCTTTCTTCTTTGCTTTCTTAATCATGGCGTCCATATCGTTAGGGTCAGCTTCGCTGTCGTCATCCTCATCAGATTCCTCTTCATCTCCCCCGACCTGCTATGCGTGTTAGTATGCATCGACTATTGCCATATAATAGGGACCGTTAGCACTGACCGCGCTCTTCTTCTTTCGCTTGTAGTTGCCATAGGCCTGTCGACCACCGTAGACCATATCGTCATCATCCGCATCTAAGGAGCTGTCGGCCACGATAAACGGCTGGGGTGCAGGTGCGTCGAACCCGTAATCTAGAACCCATTCCGTATCACCCGACTCCGCGGCTTGTCGAGCAAGCGCCTCCTTCCGCTTTTCCTCCTCGGCAGCCAGGGCGGCTGCGACAGCATCCATGTCCGATTGAGGGGTCGATGGGCTTTGTACTGATCCAGTCGAAAGTCTTTGACGCTTCGAGATCGGCGTAGTGGAAGTCTCACTGGAAGACTGCGGCGTGGACTTTTCAGCCGCGGCGCGTTGCATGAACTGTGCAAGTTAGCATCGCGCGCAAATAAAATGAAATAAAAGGTCGCAGTCAGCCACATACCTTCATCGTCAGAAGACGAGAAGACATGGTCTTCTCTGGCTTTGCGCCAGGTGTTGATGGGGTAGACATGACGGCGATGAGGTCGAGCAGAGCCTGAAGTGAAGTGAAGTTGAAAGAAAAATATCGACAGTTTCGAAGCCGCAGCCGCCTAAAGAAACGTGCAACTCGAGGACCAGCAAAAGAGACTCGATTGCAAAGCAAAGAAAATCGCGGGCGGCAGAATCCCACCGCATCCGTGGCAGGAGCGGCGCCGATTGGCTAATTCCGCTGCTGCCAGCTCCCGCCCGCAGACTCTCACCATTGAGTGGTGGTAGTGGAAACCTCACTATTGCAATCCTCCTCCAGTCCCCTGCAATCGACCCGGACTTGTCCATTGTCGTCCTCCGCTCTCACCCCCGCCCTACCTCTTATCAATCTCTCTGGGACCCCAATCTCGCCCAGCATGATGAACTGCGTCCGCAGCCGTGTCGCGGCTTTTTCTACCGCCTGGACCCCTCGGGTCGTCGCCCGGGCCAGCTACTCGACCACTGTCCCTCGTCTCAGCGAAAACACCCTGCACGCCAACGACCCGACCCCCTCCAAGCCCGTCCCGAACGTGTCGGCCACCAATGCCACTCCCGTCGACTCGATGGGCGCATGGGACAAGCCCCTGCAGGAGACCCCCGAGATTGCGGAGCGCACCCGCAAGCTCCAGGCTCCCAACCGGGCCACCACCTGGGCTGCCAGCCAGCAACCCAGAGAGAAGGCCATGGTCGGCCCTCGCTTCGAGCAGACGATAATGGAGATGCAGGTCCGTGAAATCCCGAGCCATTGGATCCAGGAGAGGACGTTGGAATGAGCCAAGAAGGAGCGAACGACAAGGGAATATCAAATCAACCCGGAGACTGACGTTATCCTGTGCTAGCCCCAACCTTATGCCGCCATTGAGCTCATCCATAAGCAGCCTGTGCGCTGGACGAAGAAGCGGGTTGTTGAGTGTGACGGCGGCGGCGGTCCCCTCGGTCACCCCCGGATCTTCATCAACACCGACAAGCCCGAGATTGCTACCTGCAACTACTGCGGTCTTCCCTTCGTATGTCATTTTACCGTGCTGTTGTACCGTTACAGAGTGCTAATCCGATGATACTTCAGGCCCACGAGCAGCACCGCGCATACCTCAAGTCCCTCCCCGCCACCAGCTACCCCCTCGAGCCCACTGGTGATGCCGCCGAGGTGAACGAGAGCCAGCGTGTGACTGATAGTGCTTTCGAGCAGCGGTAAAGAATGGCTTGCTTTTTCTCCCTTTGGCGTTGATGACTTTTCTTTTCTTGCTTGTTGTTTCCCCGTTTGGCCCCCAGGCTCTTGTACAGATGTACCAGACAATGAAGTTGTTAGAACGAACCGTTCCATAAAAGTCGATGTAACCTCCTTGGCTACTTTAATCAATACCACACGAGAAGCTACTCCCATCAATACTACACGAGAACACAGAATCATTCGTATCTCTCCGTTCTGGGTTGGCTCGAAGCTATATACCACCCCTCACAGCAAACCCACCATTAGACCCTCGAACTCACGCCTTCTCACCCTGGATAGTAGCCACCACCTTCCGCGAGTGCCGACTCGTGCGGAACTCCAAATACCAAATCCCCTGCCACGTCCCCGTCGCCAACCGACCGTTCGTGATCGGAATCGTCACCGAAGCCCCGACCAACGCGGATTTGATATGCGCCTGCCCCAGCCTCACATTAGCCTCTTTCCACTTTTCTTGCAACAACATCACCAGTACTAGCATCCAGCCCACATCATCCCCAACTACCCTCTACCCAATTTCCCAAGAGAAAGGTTAAACAAACCGGCATATCATCCTCCCCCTCCGCGGAATGGCGATACAGGTTCCCCTTCTTGTCGTAGGGGGCGATGCGGTCCAGCGCGTCGCTCATGTCGGCCCGCACGTCCTCGTCCCAGTTCTCGTTCAGCGACAGCGCGCAGCTGGTGTGCTGCACGAACAGGTTCAGCAGGCCGACCTTGTACTCCCGGATCTCCGGCAGCTCGGACAGCACCTGGTCCGTGATGAGGTAGCTGCCCCGCGAGCAGGAGGGGAGGGTGAAGGATTTCTGGAACCAGGACATTGTACTGTTGATTCTTGGGAGATGGGGGGGTTAGTATGGTTCTTTCGGGGGCGGGGTTATGGGAGATGGTTTGTTGGGTTGGTGGAGGATTGTGGTAGGTGGTGGGTGAGTGAAAGGGTCAATTGATTTTGAGAGAGAGAGAGAGAGAGTTACGTACGATGCGATTGATGGAGGTGTAGGGAAGGAGGTGAGGTTGGCGGTGTTGACTTTGTTTGAGCTGAAGTGAAGCTACTTAGGCAGAGGAACGGATTTCAGGTGGGGGGAGAAGACAGGAGAAGACCCGTCGACGTCATTCGCTGCAACACTACAGGCTGGGCCGCGTCAACACTAAACACTAGACATTGTCTTCATGAAATGGCAAGGAAAGTTTATGGTTCTTTGCAACTCTATATCTTAAGGAAATAATGTCCCCTTCCTCATGAAGCCGAGCACACGCTTGCCTGCACAGAGGGAGGATTGCTGGTCGCCGATCCCCAATCCGTGCCGCCCAAGGCTTTCCCTGCTTCGGTGGAATTGTCCGATCGAATCTTTTTCTCCCGCTGTCAGTTAGCCGAATCAACGAAGCGAAAGGAAGACTCACATAGTACTGCTGCTCGACGTAGTACCACCAATCGTCACTGCGAAATGCATTGTCCGTGGACTGGCTGATCGGGTCGACCCAGATCGTGTCCCTGGTATCGAAATGCGCGTGCTTCGACCACGAGACATACACCTTCGGATGGTCATTCCCACGCACCCCGTCCGGCGCGCGCGCGTCGCCAGCCGCGATCTCCTCACTCGTCAGCGTGCTATGGATCTGGCTCCAGGCCAGATTATGGTAGCCACTGTGAGCCGACAGCAGGGCGCGCGAAGGCGCCCACAGCTCGTTAGCGTCGCGCGAGTGCACAATGATGACTCTTTCCCAGTCACTACATCTCCGAAGATTAGGCCCTTTGACGTTGCAGAAAGACAAACAACTACAGAATGCTGCCCGGTACACTCACTAGTCATGCCCGGTGTCAATCAGGTCGAGCACCTTGGCCCCGTCCTTCTCATAGAAGAGATTATAGACCACACGCACATTGGTCTCATTGCACCGCTGCACGGTGTAGTAGATCGGGAACGCGGACGCGGGGCCGGGATTCCCGGCGTCAACGCCCGGGTTGCGGCATTCGCAGCCCACGTCGGGGTATTCGCATTGCGGCGCCGGTGCGGTCTGGTGCGCCGCATCGTAGACGTCGGGCGAGTCGGGCGAGCCCCCGAAGGCCCAGGTCGGGTAGCAGGGCTCCTCGTTCAGGGCTTGGCCGAAGAACCAGAGCGGCGCGTAGCGGTTCGCAAGCTCGACGCCGTCGTCTTGGTTCAGTAGGGTTCGCATCTCCTCGTCCGTGATTTGCGTGACGGCTAGGGCTTGGGCGGCCAACGCCGCGAGCACGGTGCTTCGGTGTGCTGGCCACATCGTGGACTGGTCTATACGTGCATTGGGCTGAGGATCTTGGGGCCCTAGTTATTGGCATCGTTGCGTGGTTGTGCGGAGAGCAGTCTTATAGATGTATCTCGAATCATCAGGTCAGTCGCGTCGGCTGACCAACCCCGCGCTATACCGACTGATGTACTTCCAAAGTTGATCTATTCCGACGGGCTTTCCACACATCAGGGGTTCTGGAATTCCGTTGACTGATTGACCAGCATGACCCCTGCCTAGGGTGACATCGGGCCGGGGTTATCGGTTGACATGAGCATGCAGCACCATCACATTTCCATCGCGCCTGATAGGCAGCCGACGACGCCCAGCCTGACAGCGGCCTTCCGAACACCAGCATGTTTCTTCTACAAGGGATGTGATTGGTCTGTCTCTTCACATGTTGATCACGTTTTCTGTCTAACATATGACAAATAAATCGAAATTTCCTAATATACATATCATGATGATCATTTATCATGCACTCGTCTGACTCGTATCGCTGACCCAAATCGTGTACGTGGTCCAGTGTGGTCACAGTTTAGTAAAAGCCCCAAAGGATACGATCACCGATCTTCATTCCGTGGGCTTGCCCATATCATCGACCTTTTCACTGTCTTCGTCCATCCCAGCCCACTTGAGCTTGCCATCTGGGATCTCTAGGATCCGCTGGCTGTAGAAGATATGGCAACTAGAGTACCGCGTCAGTCAAGGAACGAGCAGCTACAGCTACGACTCCCCCGCTCGGGTGAACAAGAAGAACATGGAACTTACTCGACCTCGAAGGCCTTCCGCCACTCCAGACGCTCTGCGTCGGTGTCTCCGCACTCAATCGACTCCGGGAACAGCAGACAGACATTCCGTCCTTCGTCCATGATCGGCGACCGGCACCACGAACAGAAGACCTTGGTGGGCAGGGAGTATTCCCGGGTCTTGTTGGTGGAGGAGTAGAATGCCAGACCCTCGGCACCCTTTTCGAAGAGCAGGTTCTCCTTGTGGAAGATGGCGGCCCATTGGAAGGGGGCAGCTGCGGGGGAGTTTCCCAGTTAGCTATCATCCGCAGCACCTTTCTGCTCCATCGCGAACAAACTCACCATGGGTCATCTGACACCCGCGACAGTGGCAGAACTTGGCCTTGAGAGGCTTCTCCTTGTTGAGCTTGTATTTGACCTGCCCGCACTGGCACTTGCCGCGCCACTTGACCTCACCGAAGTCCTCGGCGGACCGGTGCTGGTAGGGCGGCCGCTGGGCCATGTCTTTAGTGCCTTCGGGCTTGTCCGACATTCCGGTCGCGTTCTTGCGGGCGTGAGTCGTTGGGATGAAGCGGGGGAATTGAGTGCTGCGGGCTGTTGTTGCTGCTGCCGGGAGATAACACTTGGGGGTTGAGCGAAGGATGGGGGCGCAGAGTCGAAAGGGCGTCGATCGCATATCACAGAGGATGTAGAAACTGGGATTGTCATTCAATTGAACAACAAAACTGAATGTCGGGTGGCTCTCATTGAGTTTCTCCTATTTATACAAGAGACCGCCGTGGTCTTTTTTCTGTGCAGGGTCTGGGACTGCGGATGATGTCATGACGATGTATTCGATGACGGACGAAAGGGGGGGGGCCTTGGACACAGAATGGCAAAATGACAGAATTATTGCGACGGTTGTTGAGGTACTTGTGACTGAAAAAAAGGGTCTGGAATGTTTTCTGGGGGTGAAGGATTGAGCCATCGTAAATAAGCTTAATTAAGGCCTGGCTGGTTGCTGCTGGTGGGTGGTTTTGGTTAGTGGCTTGTTACTATGAATAAATCGGGCTGTCAACCTACCTTGGGGGAATCGCTGCGATGGCTGGATCTTACATGGAAGCTTCGTCCTCGGATGTAATGTACATATGAACCTGATATCTTCTCTATGGTCCTTCTGAAGGTGTTGCAGTGTGTCTCCGAATCTTCTCGGTTGGGAACTTTGTTGTATCTCTTGGAAGTGCTGTGCCGTACAGTGGATGTTCTGATCGCCCAAGAAGCCTACCAAGGCATTTACTTCGAGCAAGCATTGGCTTCATGACCAACGACGATGGCTCGTGTAGCATGATATGTAACGAAGAGGATCAGATGTAAAGATCTTGATATTCCTGGTCAAAATTATTTTGAGAGGGCAAAGCAAAGGGGTGAGGCAGGCAAGGAAACAGCACAAGTGATGCAGCTACTACGAAGCGTGGCTGGCCCGTTTGTCGTTGTGGCTGGTAGGATATCTTGTGAAGAGCTGGGGCATCAATGCTAGAATCTTAGGACAGAACATCTCTATCTGATCAAGTAGTAGCAAGGAAATAGTGGCGGTCTAATGTATTTTCCATTCTCAGGGTTGATTAGGATGCTAATGGTCTTTCGACTCACTCATTTTCGCCGATGTTTCGCAAGTCTAACGGGTGAGTGACTAGTTAAATAACAGGTATGGATAAGGAAATAACTAAGCAAGTAATACATTTCTAATCATGGCTGCATGGAAATGAAAATCTTGTGATTGTCAAGCAAACGGAGTAAACACTAGGCCGCATTGGTCCTCCCTCTTGTTCTTCCCTCAGCTTTCCTCCTCCCACCCCCCTTTCGGAAAACAACATCACCAACATTTCCAACACACCAACAAACAACAACTTTCACCTCTCACCACTCGGAAGATATCCTGATAGTCTGTCCTCACTTCACTCTGATCTGACCCCTGCAAGATGAAACCCACCCGTTCAGTGTCTGGAAGCATTCTCCTCCACCCAACTCAACCTGAAACCCCCGCCCTTAATATAGGGAACTCTTGGCGGGCGACACCCTGTCATTTCGCTTGAGGAGAAACAGCGAGAAATGCCAATCACCGACTCCCCGCCTCCCACATCCAAACGAACCGGCGGGTGCATGCATCTCTTGTGCATCGAATGAAGACCGCTCTCGCGTTACAAGTCTCAGGGCTTAATTATACCTCTTCCTCCCCGTTCTCGCCGTCACTCATCTCATCCTGTCCGGCTTCTTTTGCTCTTCTTGTTCTCCGCTTCTCGCTTAGCTTGTCTCCATCCGCGTTTCAGCCTTCTTTATCTCCAAACTCCGATCGTCCTTTCAACTTCTTGTCTGTCTTAATCTCTTACTTGGTTTCTTCTGTGTCATCTTTGCGAGGCATCGACTCGCCTTTCTCATCCCCCTCAGTTCTCCCCCAATCCATGTCCTTCCCGGTGGTGGATCTTGCATGATGGGTCTTCTGAGCCGACTTCGCAGACATTCCTCCAGGAACCACAGTGCGGGGAATGCGGCCACCTACGACCATCTCCGCACCGACGTCGACGCCTATCCCCGATCGACCTCCAACCAAGACTTGACCAAATCCCTCCCACGACCGATTCTGCACCGCATCTTCGCCGCCGTATGTCCACACACCGTTGACGACAGCTATGAAACATCGGAAGAGTCCATGACCGAGGATGGCTGCATGCTCTGTGACATGCGCGACCTGGCCCACTGCGCCTTGGTCTGTCAGCGCTGGTATCTGGAAGCCCGGGCTTTACTGTAGGTACCAGCGATCATCTTCAGCGAGGCACACGTCTAACGAGATATCTCTTCCTGCTTAGATACTCCCACGTCCGCATTGACCCCGTCCATTACTGCGAACTCGAAGTGGAACTATCCGCCAAACGAAAGCGACGCTCGTTCCTGAATCGCAACGGGGAAGCCATCGATGCGCCCCAGGTCCGACTCCGACTCTTTATGCAGACTGTGCGGGAATCGTCAGATCTGGGACATCGGGTCCTCTCTCTCCGCATGCCATACATGACTCGCGAGGCGAGCAAAAGCGAAATCGCCCGCACCATCTCCGTCCTGCCGAATCTGCGTTATGTCGACCTCCCCGCCGGCATCTTCAGCGACGACCCATCGTGCTTGGCCTTGAAGCAGGAGCTCATCGGTCGGTGCCAGGATCTTCGCCGGATGAGCTACCGCCACGGGGCCGAGGGCAGCTTTTCGCAGTTACCCGAGTCGCCGCTCTGGGTGAATCTGGAAGTGCTCGAGCTATCCCGGCTGCAGATCGAGCCGCACATCCTGCGGATGGGTCTCGCCTCCTTCCCCCATCTCCGGGATCTCACCCTCGACGATCTGCCCTGGCTCGACGACTCCGCCTTCTCGCCCTCCTACTCCGATACTCTCCCCCCGTTTCCGGCCGTCCAGCGCCTCACCCTCCGCGATACCCCGAACGTCACGGCAAGCGGGCTTGTCGATTTCTTCTCTCTGCCCCTCAACCGCAAAACCCTCCACTCCCTGACCCTCTCCTCGACCGGTGTCCTCCCGTCGACCTACCACCAGATCCTCTCCGTGGCGCCGCAACTCCGCTCCTTCTCCGTCAATCAGGAAGTCACCCGCTCGTTCCCCGTCGACAGCAACCGCGTGCCCCCGCTCGCCTCCCGCTCCCTCGCCCTCCTCCACTACGAGATCACCTCCCCCTCCAGCCCCATAACCGGCAACCTCCCGCCCATCGCCGCCTCTTACTACACCTACCTCATCTCCTCGCTCATGTCCCACGCGCTGCCCGCGCTCCGGGATCTGTACGTCCGCGATTCGAGCTTCCCCGAGACCTTGCTGCTCGCCCCGCCCCCGCGGCTGCTCGGCGGCGGCGGCGAGGGCGAGGGCATGGGCCCGCAGTTCTTCCACGGGGGTCTCGCCCAGCCGCTGAACGTGTACAGCAAGGGGCTGGACGAGCTCGAGTGGAACTTCACGCCGTACGAGCCGCCGTCGACGCGCGGACGCCGCGCCAGCACCACGCGGCCCGTGAGCTTCCACGACGCCCAGCTGAGTCGCACCTGGGGCGGCGACGCGCGCAAGAGTGTCCTGGTCGGGAACGGGTTCGGCGGGTTCCTGGCCGTGCCGGTCGAGGATGAGGACGGTCGGCCCAAGAGTAGTGGCGGCTGGCGACGCGATAGTCGGCAGGATCTGTGGCGGTGAAGCTGGGGGGTGGTCATGCTGTATGCTTGTGTCAACTGGGATACGTACGGTAACTACGGATAATGTTGTAATGAGGGGCAATTTGACCTGGGCTCTCGTGGGTCGTGTTGCAGTAGATGTGGATCCCCTACTGGCTGTCTGTGACACTGGGTGCGGACGAGTTCCTATTTAGGTATTTACTTTATTTTTCTTTCCGTTGATCTATTTCCTTCCTTCAGGATTGGGTGGAATGGACATTTGGAAAATGGTTCCGGAAAATATCAGGATATGTTTTTACCACCTTGTTGAAAACAATGAAGATAGAAAACATGAGTGTGTCACCATCAACCACCGCTTTTTCATGACATGCTCCCTCCTTCCCCCTTCTGCTGAAAACCCCATTTTACTATCTCCTGTCTGTGCCTAGCATTAAGCAACCTACCGCTCCTCGACTAATTGAGGCACCACCGCCCGGCCACCAAATGTTGAACAGAACAAATGATTAACAAGCATCGCCCACCACCAGAACAGCAGCATCGTGGGGCGCCAGCTTGACACTATACTTATCCCGGACACATCCCAGATCATTGCCCGTCCAGGCATTCCGCACCCGGAACCCCGTCCCGCGGCGCCCGCGGTGTCTCCCCTGCAGCTCGGGCACCTCCTTCCAGTACGCAGTCCGGGTCTGGGTGCGATCCTCCGAATTCAGCATCAACACCAGCGTCCCGTTGAGCGTGGACGACGGCCCGGACCAGTACTCGGCCGGGTGCAACGGGTCGAAGGTCCAGTCGGCGTTGTAGCCCCATTTGTAGGGGTAGGCGGGGCGGCCTACTAGAGGATCTTGGTTGAAGGCGAGCAGGTCCTTGTTGCTCAGGATGGCCAGGTGGGCTGCGTCAATTGAATCCAGCTTTTTGTATCCAAGAGGTTAGCTCTGGGGTAGTGGATGAGTTTGCTGGGGAAAAGGGAGGGGGGTTTCAGGGTGCTAAGGGGCAAAAACATACAGGAGTGCCGATAATCAGAGGGCTCTTCATGATCGCCCAGAGAGCAAAGTGGGCGCGGTTCTCAGCCAGCGTCAGATTCCCGTTACCGACTTCTAGCATGTCCGGGTCGGGGTGCCCCCAGAAATTGGCGTAGTTCATGAGGAAGGAGTTCTCATTGGCAATTTCGGCGATGCGGGTCCAGTTTGCTGCATTCTCTGGTTATTGCTTGATTCTTGGATGAAGCGGAGGGGAAGAATGAGGAGGAAGGAGAGCAAGGACGAGGTTGACAGGGGAAGCTGGTGCTGGGAAAGAAAAGGGAGTCCTACGTGTAATATCGCCCGACATGCGCCACGAGTTGCCGGTTGCGTTTCCCCAGGCATTCACATCGGCTTGACCCCAGTCACAAAGAGAGTAGAGAATGGTCCGGTTCACGCTGAGAAGAGCGTCGCGCATGGCCTGGTAGCGCTTCGCCGTCGTCGATTTCGACCAGTCGTACCTGGCCGGGGCAGCGTTTGCGAGTCCCGGGCAGGTGCCGTTTGGGTAGGGACCACCGTTGGTGCTGTCGGGTACGCAGGCGGTGTATTGGTCGGTCTGATTGGTAGGGACACCGCAGTTGTCGTACTTGAGGTCTAAATTGAGACAATTAGTTGAGGAAGGTAGAAGGGGACGAGCCGGAGGGTTGGGGTAAAGGTGCGTTACAGTCAATGCCCCATTCGGCGAAGGTTTGCGCGTCGACCTTCTCATACCCCAGACTAGCTGGGTAGCCAGCGCAGGTGGTCAGACCGGCACCTGTGATGCGTAAGCTTTTCTCTTCCGTACACGCCTTGCTTTGGTAGGGGTATGAACCTACTGCTATAGATGCCAACTTTCAGACCCAGCGCATGGATCTGATCCACCAGGCCGGAGATTCCATCGGGAAACTTATCAGGGTCCGGGATTATGCGCTTAGTGGTTGTGTTGCGTCCGGACTTGATGGACCAGCAGTCATCAACTAAGATAGCGTGTAGTTAATTAGCAGCGTGAGTCTTGAAAGGGCTCGAAGGTAGTATATGAGCTCACTGTTGATGTACTCGTAACCGAGGCCCTTCAACCCTAAATCTATGACCTCGTTGGCGGCCGTGAGGATCTTATCTGCGTCGATTTCGCAATTGAACGCGTTCCACGAATTCCAGCCCAGGGCAGGCACGCGGCCCTGTTTGCATTCAGCCTTTGAAGCACGAAGAAAAGTGTGGACTTGATCCAGATGCGCGTACCACATCGTCCTGCCGGACCAGGGCATTGGCCCTGGACATAAACGCCAACACCGTCAAGGAAGACACCAACATAGTGACTGGATGAGATGTATCTCAGTATCCTCAAGAATGGCCCTGAAATACAAGTAGTGGAATGATTCTGGGACCGCAAGTCCAGCCATGATGGCGGCGAGGGGAACGACGATCGCTACTTATATTGTTGGGAACTTGGTGAAGCGGGGGTCTTTGGGGGTCGAGGAAAGAACCCTGTATGTAGATGGGGGAAAGAGCAACACGATGACCAGGTAGGTGGAACCCACACCAGGTTTGCTGGCGAGTTTGTGGCATGCTCAGAGGAGGGGGTGGTAAACAATTCGGAAGTTGTGTACACCATTTAGGCTATAGACGACTTTATCAGGTTGTGATGTGCGCCTCGCAGCCACCCGAGTCAAGCTATTCGGGTTGCGTCCTGGTTTTTCCGTGGTGGATTGGTTCCTGGTGGCTGGCGGGGTTGGCCGTGTTGGAAAGGGTAAAGCTGCAATTGGGATGGACCACGCTGCAGATGAGCTGCATTAGTGTCTGAGGGGAAGGTAGAGCTCCTTTCATGTTACTCGGTGGAAGGATCTGGATTGCAGGTGGTGTGAGGAAGGGCGGAAGAGAGCCTGGGAATGACGTCTGGCGCATTCAATAGTGGCTTTTGATGACGGCGCATGCGTGGTGTATTGGCAATATTGCACATAGTGACTTTGAGCCTCCCGTGATGAGATTGTTCAAGCATTGATAGACAATGTTTGAACTGCAAAGACATTGTGAGGCCAAAAGTGAGGCAGACGGTGTGGTGTGGTGTGGGTGAGTGAGTGGGTGGAAAGTTGAAGTGTGGAGAAGAAGTAGTTGAGAGAGGGGAACCTGGAAGATGATAGCACCTCCACCACTACTAGTACTAATTAATTGTATACTCTGCAAGCCACCAAAACTACACAACCCAATCACTCCACTCCACAGATCAACTATTAACATCTCACAAACACACCAGCATATTTTAATAATCACCAGCATACATTAGTACTACCATTCTAACTGCAGCCAGAATCCCAATTACATCTCTACATCTTTCTCCCCAAACATCTCCCCAAAATACCTCTCAAAGGTCCTGACCTCGACCCCCGGAAAAAGCCCATTGTGCACCTCGCCCGGCGGCCTCACAAACCGGCCCGCCCCCTGCATCCCCTTGACCAGAATCCAAAAGTCATCCGGGAAGACACTCTTCCCCTTCACCTCTGGCGGGATCGCCCCCTCGGGGTCCCTCCACACCCGGTGCATCACCTCGAGCGGCCACACCTCTTTCTTGACCGTCCTGCTCGAGAACCGCTCCAACAGCGCCGCAATCTCGTTGTACGAGATGCGATCACTCACAAAGTTCAGCGTGCGGTTCGCGGATATCTCGGAGTGCTGGACGGTCTCCACGAGGAAGGCGGCGAGGTCGTCGATGTGCGTGAAGTCGACCCTGGCGTCCGCGTCCCCCAGGATGTGGAGGGTGTAGGTGTCGGGCGGATCGGGGTTGACCCAGGGACACCAGGTGGTTTCGCGGGATTGGTTGTAGAAGTCGCCGCAGCCGATTAAGGTGTAGCTCATCTTGCCGGCAAGGATGGCCGGGTGGTGGAGGCATTGCTCGGTGGTGGTGGATTTGAGGTTCCATATCTGGGGGGGGGGAGTGGTTAGCTTGAGGCGATCGTCTGGAATGGTTCGAAAATGGAGAGGAACGTACAGGATGTAAGTATCCCATTTGATCATCCTCTCCTGGGGGGCGGTAGATGTGGTGCATCCCATACTCGCTCGGGTAGAAGCGTTTGACGCCTGCGTGGGCCGCGGCGTCTTGGACGGCTCGTTGCGCGGCCAGTGCTTTGCCGTTCAGAGCGCTGATCACGATCTCGACGCCGGTCAGATGGGGGGTGAGATCCTCGGGTGTGGCGGAAAGGAGGTCGACGACTGCAGTTGACAGACGTTGACTCTGGTCGGATGTGAAGCTCTTGACTTGATCGCGTGCGGAGGACTCGGATTGCGGTGCGGCGATCTGAAGGACATGATGGGGAGTGGTGGTGAGGAGGGCGCGCATGATCGCTTGGCCGATCTGCCCTGTTGGGCCGAGGAGAGCGATCTTCATTTTGGATTCGAAAACCAAACCAAGTGTTAAGTAAGATGCTTATTTGGTGGGATTGTTGCTGGTGGTTGATGCTCTTATGTGTTGATGTTCGTATGGGGTAACATCACAGCTACGTCATGTGTATAGCGTCAATTGTTCATTTATTGTATTTCAAGACATCAAAGGTAATAAAAAAGACGTGCACGACACGCTGGACCTTGTGGGACGGATTCTATTCGATGATTCAGATAGGATCTAAGCAATATACACCAAAAACAGGATTAGGGGTATTAACGTTTTCATGTCCATGGCATTTCATAATTTGACCCGACATCACCTCTCAATACAGAATCTTCAACTCCCACAATGGTAACTTCGGATCGAACTTATCCCAAACAATCTTGTTTTTCTCACTCAGATGCGCGCCCTCGTTTGTGATGGGTATCAAGGGGTCGGTATCCACAACCTCCTGCTGACTGAAGCCCCATCGGTCCCGTGGAATCCATACCGTCGGTGTTCGGGAGGTGATGCACGGCTCAAAGTACGCATTGTTCTGCTCCTGCTCCGAGTATCGGATTTCCACGTGGTCGCGGGGTACCTTGCCCCGAATGGCGGCGTAATCACGGTAGAGGTTGGGGTGAAACCATCGCCATACGGATTGCCATTTGCTTGTGAGGTGCAGATGCGGGAGACCCGTGTCAAGAGGTGTGGACGCTGCGGAGGCCTCTTCTTTGGCGAGCTGAGCGGATTCTTCCACGTCGAGAGTGCGGGGAAGGAAGGAGTTCAAAGGAGCAAGGGCTTCATTGAGGGACATGTGGGCGAGAACGGTGAGGATCAAGTAGACTACCATGATGATCAGGGGCCCAATGGCGCCTTTGATGGCGAAGAGACCGATCAAGCAGATGTCTGCCAGGTAGAGGCCGGTCATCAGGTGTTGGAGGGCCCGGGGGTAGACGAGACCCTTGGTGTCGATGCGAAGATCGTAGACAAAGAGAAAGTTGTATCGGTAGGCTTGGTAGACAAGGTAGAGACCGACGAATGCGAATCCGAGAATTAGGGGAGCGATGCAGGAGTACGTCAGAGCTGAATTTTGGCAGTTGTTAGCTAGTGACACGTCAGACAGGGCGAGACAGCATACCTATCACACCCATGTTCGTGAAAACCGGAAAGACATTGCCCCAACTTAGGCCACTTAGTGTTGCCCATCGCCGGTACAATCGGCGTGGTGTACGGTCAAGGAAGGTCGTGATAAACTTGAATACAACTGCTCCGGCAACTTGCACCACCGCCATAGAGCTCATGGTCAGGCCCTGTAGAAGAAAGTATGAGATGTAGAAATTTGTGGCTTTCGGTAAGTTTTGAGCCAGTAGGTCTTTGGCTGACAGCGGGTTTTTTATGATTTGTGCAGTCGCTGCGGATGCGGCAGATGTCAAGGTAGTAACAAGAAATACTTGGACTACTTGGAAGCAGAAATGTGCACTTTGGGTGAAAAGCTCAACACGAGCATCCGAGGGCACACCTGCGCATCTGGCACATGCTGTATACCTCGTTACAACCAATTCTCGCAGAAAAGAAGGATCAGCCATACCTCGACAGATAACAGGGACCAATGACATTAGCATCGAAAGGGCAGCAGACGGCAACAGCCCCGATATGAGGCCGATGATGACATCTGGTAAGTCATTGAGAAAGCCCAGAAATGGCACCAGGTCGGTAAGAGAACTGATGTTAGAAAGTGTGCCAACTAAGGCTGATGGAATGGACCAAAATATGACCAGAGCTGCAAGGCCACCTTGAACCAAGAACCTGCGCCCGATGCGCTGCCACCAACTAAGATTTAATGCTGACCAAACGACCTCATTGGGAGAGATACCGATGAAGCGCGGAGTCATATGCAATGGCTGATGATGCGACAGCGTTTGTAGAGCGATTTGCGCATCATTTTGCGTGTAAAACTCGATGAAGACCGCGGATAGATTCTTCATCTCTCCATTTCTATGTTTCTTTTGAAGATCGTCGACCTCTTCAATGACCTTGACAAGCTCAGCTCGCAGCCAACGGATCGTATCAACCTTCTTGCCGAAAGGCTTGGGGCGATGAGTTGGCCTTCGCACACCATGATACCAGCCCGATGTGTCCGCTTCACAATCATGACAGGCATCAGTCTCTAAGCAGGACTTGGAGGGGGAAGCTCCTTTCCTAATGGCCCTAAGACGAGCTGAGTTCGCTGCCCGAATAAGTTTCGTTTCGGCGCTTTCGAGCTTATAAGCTAACTTGTCTCTTTTCTGAACCTTGTCGTCCAACTTCTTACAGTCGGAGGTGATCCACATACGCCGGATCGATTGTCCAAAGACCCGACGCAGTGTCTCCTCGTTCTTATATTCCTCGGGTACCGACATGAACAGCACCGTTCTGGATGATATCCGACGCGCATAAGCGGGAGAATTCAAGTACGCCTGTCGCAGGTTGGCATAAAATATGCTCTCTCGCGTGATAACGAAGAAGACAAATGCTGTCGACTGTCAGCGACGTCCAGAGGTATTCTGAGAAGATCACCTCACTGAAAAATATACATGCCATGACGGCATGAGCGTAATAACGCTTAGGATCCGTGACGTTGCTAAAGCTCAGCGCATCGAGTTGCGTATTTCCCGCACCTCCCGTGGCATGTATAGGCAGAAGGATAGGCCAAGTGATCACGCATCCAGTGAAACATGTCGCAGACAGAACACGCAGAAATCGCAAGAAGAGATAGCCGTCCAGAGACGAGTTATGCAGCACCTGGGCATCATTGATCCTAAAGAATTCCCCAAACCAATTGACAAATCCCGATGGCAAACGTGGCGCTCGCTCACTACGTAACTTCTAAGTAACTTCCTGTGGTAGCATGTGAGGGTGGAGTGGATGCTACGTACTGTTTATGCCAGCATGGCAGATGAGTTCTGGGTGCATACCACCGCAGCTGAGTTCGTCGACAGATCAGAAACAAGCCAAACCAAAAGGCCGCGATCACCAAGGCAGGGATCAGAGTTGTTAGAAACGCTGAAAGGGAAGTTGACCCCCCACCAAGTCCGAAATCTCCTATTACATCGGAACTTGTCGAGGAGGCGTTGCCCCGCGAGGAGCCAACGTTGGGATCATTGTCTGAGCTCTGATAAATCAATCAGCACGCAACCCACAGAATACACATGGAATGGGCTTACGAGAATGTTATTCCGCTTCACAAGCGGATCAAGCACAACTCGAAGAGCCATGTCAGTGGGCTATACAGCTGTACCTTGAAGGCGAAGAAAGGAAGGTCAAAGCATGAGATTGCTCTAAATATACGCGGACTTCAGAGGACAATCGCATCTGCCCCTAGCGCCCCATCACAAACAAGCTCTCGAATTCCGGGTCGTGTCCCACGTATTTGAGTGGCAGGCATGCCGAACCTGTCACTTGAGGCACAATCCACGCAAAAGTACATAGCCTGAAAGGGCTGAAGCTGCAAAGCATGCAGGCTAGCGCGGTGTGACTCGAGAAGTGGTACACTGGCCAATAAGAGTGGTAGGAATGTGAATGGTCGCGTATCGATGTTGATTGTGGGTTCTTAGTGGTTATCAGCTGTGGTTCGCTTATCTGCTATGCCGTTGATCAGAAGCACGAGATGCCACACTCAAAATTACATCTCATGGAACAGAGTCCACAATTGCAGTAAGAATCGTCCAACTTGGCATGGAACCATGCGATCAGCGGGGTTTGGTCGCGGACGAGCGTAGGATGAGATACCGAAGAGCTGCGCACACCAGGCCATCAGCTGAGCCAACATGCAGACCATGCATGAGATCAACCCTAGGGAGGGCGCTCTTGTAGCAGTCGGCGATTCTCAATGGTTCTTGATCCTTCGGACAAGCAATGTGGAATCAATAGAGGATGGGCCGCTGCCGATCGGCGGATTGAGCTGATCATCCCGGACGGAGCTTCTGCCAGCAAGGGATGGCTGCTTTGGACACTCCTCTTTGCTGTACCGCGAGAGTCAGTGAGAAAAGTTGCACCGTAGCATACTTTCTTGCTTCATTAATGACTTAGTTCATGATCCTACACGTAATGAATCTGTGACCTGGTAGACCTGCCTCCGGTTCCGTATGCATTTTTTGGCCAAGCAGGTGCAGGTACAGTGACAGCTCAGGCTTGTCCGAGTGGGACATCCACACCATTATTTTCCAAGTAGGAAAAGGGGTTGGTGGGTGCACATCGGCCCCATACGGAGCATTGGGGTAAAATTCTGTAGGAATGTGTCCAATCGAGAGAGTATAGAATGAAGAGCAAGATGGACAATTGATTGTCGCGGGAAGAGTGAAGCCGGATGATGTGGAGGGGAAATTCGGGAGGGAGTGAATCAGCGGGCTTACCATGGGAATAGCGGCTAGATGGTCAGCCCGCAGTGAGTGTTCACCTAGGTCCCGGCACCTCGGCCCGTACATGGGGATGAGAAGCATTTTGGAACACTGAATAGCTGATTAAAATGGAAACCTAGGCTTTGATTAGTGTTGGGGCAGCGCTTCATGATAAAAAAGCTCATGCCATCTTCAGCACTGCATGTCATTCGTTGGCATGCCATAAATGAGCTTCTGAGCATGGGAGTTGAAGAAATTGATACAATTATAGCTCTCTTTCGCTTCGTGGGATGGAGTGTGGAGTAGCACATGTATCGGGCAAATTTCTTTTCAAGGAGATTATGATCAAAGATAAGGTATGGGTCTAGCGATTCCTAACCAAGGAGCTTTGAAGGACGTCCAGCCGAATGTACCAATAGGCAGGCATACTAATTGAAGGACAATCAGATCATTGTCTCTATCATAAGCATCCAGGGCAGATCCGAGCATGAGTCAGCAAGCAGCTGCCATCAATCTCTGGTGAAGATGGCAATATTCTGGTCTGAGAAGCATAGTGAATAAGGTTCAACTCGTACCTGAACTCGGTGGACGCACGCGCTTTGAACTCAGGAGGCCGTCTCTATTGTAGACAGGCCGGCTGGAACCTGAGGATAAACGAAGCGGCTCATCGATTAGTGAATCTGGTTGAAGTTCTTGCCTACCTAGTAGTTTCATGGTTGACATTTCCAGATCCAGCTGGGCTTATTGTGAGGCGATGTCACTACATGCTGATTGGGCAAAACATTGAGCTAAATCCTAATAGTAGTGTGTACAACATACTCCGTACTAATTACCGGGTTGGAGGGAGATATTGTAGATTTGTTGACTGCCACCACAGTGTGGTGTTCCTCATAGCGACTGCAAGGAATTGTGATGCTGCTCTTGGACTTACGCCTTTTCATAGTGCACTAGGAGATGTCAGTGACCACGATCAATCAAAAGCACAGCAAGACCTACCAAGCCACTCGTGCAATGTTTCTTCCCTTTCCAGCGAAAGGGTAGGGCAGGGCTCCTGAAGAGCATCGTCCAAAGACCCACTTGGGTCAAAAAGGTGCTTCGGTCGCTTTGAGGATTTTAAGAACTTGCATGAGTTAAAGATAGAAGACTGAAGGTCGAGGAAGAGATGATGGGAAAGCTAACTGCAGCGGTACGTGAACGGTCCGCGGCAAGGCGAGACCTTCCCCTCAGTCCCAATGGGTACTGGCCCATGGCGATACCTTCTAGAAGCTCGAAGAAAAGAAGCTATCAAGATCTACTTGAACAGTTAGCAGCGATGCTTTTGTGAGAAGCCTCCGGTTTTGGTCGAGCACTTGAGGTGGGAAGCTGAATTGAAGATAACATGGCTTGTCTTCGGATTTGCATGTACAGCTCGAAATCCATTTTCATTACAGGGCTTTCTTTTGTTTTTACCCTTACGTGAGATCTTGACATGATCTTGCATGTCTTGGGCGTTTTGCATGGTGCATTCAAAATTTTCCATTCTTCTATCGAATTGTAAGACCTTATTGCTGAACCGAACATGGGCGGCTCCAATATGTGCCATGGATAGGGGTAGCCGCTTCAACTACGGTACGATGATACTCATAGAATGTACAGTACCTACTTATCCATTTGAAGGTACTGCGTGAAACCCATGTTCAATCAAATGCTGTGGGTTAAGGTGGAGAGTGTAGATTGAGTTGGAGTGAGACCCGCATTAAACGAAAACGAATCCGATTTCCGGGGTAGGAGGTCGTGGAAGGGCGTGAAGACGGACGCAGAAGCGGACGGTGATGATGCGGCTGGGTGGTGGTCGGCGTAGAACATGCCCACAGCGACGACGCCGTCGTTGAAGTTCGTAAACAGTCCTATCTTCGGATTCTCCTCCATAGCCATCTGGACGGCCACCGTGGCTTTATTGATTTCCATATAATCATCAGGGCTGTAGAGTTCGATGGTATATTGGATAGGGCGTAGAGGATGAGTCTCGAGGTCGACCCGCGTCACGATGCCGAAGTTGGTGCCTCCGCCTTTCAGGGCTCGGTAGAGGTCGGGGTATTCGTGGGCGTTGGCATTGACCAGTCTGCCGTCTGCCAACAGAACCTGGGACAAGCGCATTTCGTCAGAGCCATGAAAATCGGCAGCAAAGAAGAATACCTAAGTAGTATGCACCTGGAAACTCCGGACCCCATCCGCCCCCGTCCCATACAGATTCGGAAACGCCCCCATCCCTCCTGCAATCCCACTGATTAGCCACAACATCCACAATTACTGCAGAGAGGAGGAGAAAACAAACCTCCCAGAACAAACCCCGCCACCCCAACCTGCACCTGCCTCGCCCCGACGGCCTCCAACCCCCGTGCCTCCAACCACCCATACACCTCGCCCCAGGTGCACCCGGCCCCGACCCGCGCAACTCCCTCCGCCGTGAGCTCCATCTCCCGAAACCGGCTGAGATCCAGGACGAGCGCCGATCCGTCCGCGCTGCTGAACCCGGCGTTGGGGTTGTGGCCCGTCGAGCGGAGGGCGAATCGGGCGTGGGTGTGCTTGAATTTCACGAGGGCTTGCGTGAGCTCGGCCACGGTTTGCGGGAGGAGGTACCCTGCGGCGCGGGTCCAGCAGGTTTGGGACCAGGGGCCGGTGGCGGATGTGTTGTATTGGGCGGTGAGGGCGGGGGTTATTGCTCTATCCTGGAGGAAGGGTTGCAGGTGCTCGAGAGCGAGGGTGGTTGGTTTGTTGGTGGTGGGCATGGTGTTTGTGGGTGGTTGAGGGGTGTAGGATGTGGGATGGTTGAGTTGTTGAGGGTTGTGTACTCTGAGGGGGGTTTTATGGGATTTGCTGGGTAAGCACTAGGCTAGCATTGGAATTCAGTTTGTAGTGAATTAAAAAAGGCTTGCCGTAGCATGTCCCATAAGACTCAGGTGGTACGTTAGTTGCTAGGAAAGGTGTTAATCTTCGATACACGTATAGTGGTGGTTTTCTGGTCTATACTCCTCCGCAATGTCAGCCCTAGATTTAGCGCCCGAATCTTTGGTCCACTCTGTCTCCACATCGATACACGGTATGGCCACTCATAAATACACACTAGCTGCCAGTTCGGAGCCCCACAGAAAGAAGAAGTGACGCCCGGTCGATGCGGCTTATGAATGGGGCGATTGAGACATGATGGTCTAGATAACTAAGGGGAGTATGTCAAGTAATTGCAAGAAAATGAAAAACTTGATCGGCCAAATTATCATACATTGAAAAGGCCAACTTAGCCTGTGGCGGGCACTTCTACATACAATCACAGCAAGCCACGATCCGACCCCGGAATCGACCGCAGCGAACAGTGACTCGCTTTGGCTGTGTAAGGGGTGCATCGCCACCAGATCCTGCCTCGACTCAGTACAACCATGCAGCTCCAGAGACGTCTGATCCGGACAAAATGGACGAGGAGGGCCCACCCGCCGCGCCAGCTCGTAATGCCGCATACCGGGCTCAGCAACCCGGCGACGCCGCTCATCGCGCAGCAAAAGGCCCACACCATGCGCAGACTATCCACAAACACTGTGCGTACCTGCCGTCTTGTCTCGGGGTCGGCGATCTGATTGATCAGACTCACGAGCGCGACTGGGTCCAGGTGGATTTTCGTCATCGTGGTGGGATGCGTGCGAATGGCCTCGAGAACCGAGTCGAATAACGTGTGGGCACGCACGCGGTTGGAAAATATGGTACCGCCCAGCGCCACGCCTAGCGTCTAGCCGAGAGCGCGGAATAATGTGAACATCGTGGCGGCGGCGGTCTGGGTCGGGCTCGGGGCGGCGGCTAGCATGCCCAAACCTAAGCTGATGATGATGAGACAGACAAGCGATCCAGAGGGCGTTGGTGGTGTTCACGCACACGAGGCAGGTGAGTCTCAGCCCCAGGGTGGTGGCGAGCCAGCCAGCCCAGACAAGGCCCGGTACCGGCCCGGTTGACTGATTAGGATGCCCGTTACCATGGCGTTGGGGACTACGGTGAATATTATGGCAAAGAGAGCGACGCCGGAGATGATTGACGTGTAGCCCTTGACAGGTTCAAAGCAGAAAGGTAGGTAGTACAGGCCGCAGGAGAGCATTAGGCCGTGGGTTATATTGCCGATGTAGCCGGCGAGGAGAGACCGGGTGCGGAAGAGGTCTAGCGAGATGACGGGGTTAGCGGACACGTCGTAGCCCTCGTATGCCACGAAGCAGACCAGCGCGGCCATACCAGTGAGCAAGGGCGTGAGTGTGTGTGCCACGAGCTCCAGGCGTACATCACTCCTCCCCACGTCACGGGGATGAATACGGCGGTGATACCCCCGGTGAACAACAGGATACCCCCAAAGTCGGTGTCGCCTGGCTTGCGTCGTAGAGAGATTGGCAGGCGCTGACCTTGTTGTAAGCCCTAAAGCAGATCACCCCTTGCTTCGCTTTCCCTTCATGGTCTCTATCTGTATCCTACCTTCTATACCCTCAACCGAACAGGACCGACTTCAAGCCCATCAGAGACGGCACCAAAGACCCCAACTAGAGCCGCTCAATGACGCCCACTGCTTACCCGACCAGACCCAGAACTCACGCCCTGCCGGACGCGAACATCCTGACCATGAGCGAGACCCTCGAGGCAGCGCAACGCATGGCCGAGTCCGTCACCTGCCCCGTCGTCGCGGACTGCGCCAACGGGTTCGGCAACGCGATCAACGTGATGCGCACCGTCACCCAATGCGAGCGCGCGGGCTTAGCAGGGGTATGCATCGAGGATAACATCTTCCCGAAACGGTGCAGTTTCTACGAGGGGGTGCAACGTGAACTGACAGTTCCGCACGAGCATGCACTCAAGATCTAGGCCGCCGTGGAAGCGCGGACAGATCCCGACTTCGTGGTCATCGCCCGCACGGAGGCGTTCATTGCTGGGCGGACAAAGCGCGAAGCCCTGGAGCGCGCGCGGGCGTACGCAGACGCGGGCGCCGAGGCCGTGCTCGTGCATTCCAAGTCGGACTCGTTCGAGGAGTTGAGGGAGTTCGCCGCGGCGTGGGACCGCTCGTCGTCTTGTGTGCTTGTTGCGGTTCCAACGACTTATGAGGGTATCTCGGCGAGTGTGCTGTTTGATACCGGGTTTAAAGTGGTTATCTTCGCGAATCAGGCGCTTCGAGCTGCGGTGAGGGCTATGCAGGATGCGATGGTGGTGCTTCGGAGAGAGGTGCGTCCGGCTGCTGTGCGGGACTCGATTGCGTCGTTGTCGGAGATTTATGGGCTTGTTGGGATTAATGAGCTGAGGGAAAGCGAGGAGCGATTTCTACCGCGGCCTGCCTCTTCCCCAGTAACGAATTGCGACGAGAACAATCATCATGAGGAGCCGGCAGGCGATAAGAGACAGGTGATTTTAAAGCTTTGAGCTTTTACTTTGCACAGTATCGAGCTCGAGCGAAGTCCGTTCTCTGATGTCTCTTGTACATACCTTGCTAGACCGTCTGGCTCCTAGATTTAGCTAGACTCAATGATATGACCCGTCTCGCACGAGCACATTGAAGATGAAGAGGATAAACCAGGTTGTAGAGGCGGTAGCGGGCTGTGCCTTACTTGACGAGCAGGTAATCGCGGCTTGACATCCATAGGTAGATTGGAGACCGGCTAACTAGACGGCTTTTCTTTTCCAGCGAAATGCGAACTATGGCCGTGAAGAATAGCAAGCTCAAAGCTCTGCTGACAGATGTGCATGTTGTTATGGTGATGAGAAAATCACCTCGTATACTGTTCATGCAAAGCTCATGGCCGTATGAGTATCCCCGAATTGGGAAAGCTTGTCTTGTCAAAATCAGCTATAACACCGAATAGCTCCGCATAAGCCTCTAGACGAAGAGATTCTCCGCACACCAGTCAAGCTTCCACAAATCAGCTCATACGCTGGCGTGGTTCAATGATGATGGTCTTATCTTGATGAGTAATTCAACACGAGGTTTGGCCGCAGCTCATTGTCTGCGTCGGCCCCGCACTGACTTCACTTGCATCATCATGTTACATGACGGCTCTATCAATGAGCAAAGTAATTCCCCTGCTTGTATTGGTAGTCAATGGCCCGGCAGCTGCGATCGTGCTTATCTGGATAGTCAGGGCGGAGGATCTGGAACCAACAGCGAGCCTCCCTACTAGCGGTATGCAGGATTGACCGCGGCATCTCCGACCTCTCAGACTCCTTCTACATCTAAATGTATACGAGAAAACATCCAGGATGTGAATCCGGCAATGAATAATATCTGCGAAGCTTGTCTACCCCGCACAGGCTTGTGGAGGGATAAAAGGAAGCAGTGGCACGTCGACCGGCTATGCTTTCCGTTGATGAATCTAGTCCGGAAGGTCAAATTGTCTCACTCCGTTTGTATCTTTCGCCAAAAAATCAGTATTTCATCGCGTTTGTCAAAATGTCCCTTCCTGCAACTTTCAAGCAAGCGGTGTTCCGCTCTGCTGGATCACCGCTCGTGATTGAAGAGAGCCCTCTCACTCCTCCAGGCGACCGTCAGCTCCTTGTCAAGGTCGAGGCTTGTGGCGTTTGCTCCTCGGATCGATGGGCTCAGAATAATGTCATGGGTGGTGGGTTGTAAGTACTCGCTTGAATTCTCTGCTCTGCCTTGTTCCCAGCATACAAATTAACTCGTCCTCTGCATGTGAAGCCCTATTGTGCCTGGCCATGAGATTATCGGCCGCGTCGCGGGCCTCGGAAACGGCGTCTCGAACTGGAAAGTTGGGGATCGGGTTGGTGGAGGCTGGCATGGAGGTCACGACGGTACCGGGTCCTCCCCTTCACAGCCATTCCCGGATCTTTGATTGTAAAACTCACTACTTGCAGGTACCTGCAGAGCCTGTGACAAAGGCTATTTTCAAATGTGCTCTGCCCAGCAGGTGAATGGGGAGACCAAGAATGGTGGCTGTCCGTTCATCCGCTTCTTCACTTGTCCCGTGGTTGTAGTTCTGAGTTGCTGACATTTATGATTAAGACGCTGATTATTGTCTTCTCAACGTCGAAGCTGCGGTTCGAGTGCCCGAGCACGTCCCCGCCGCAAAATACGCCCCCATTCTCTGCGCAGGCGTCACCGTCTTCAACTCTCTCCGTCATATGAATATTACGCCTGGGGAGATAGTCGCGGTGCAAGGGCTGGGCGGACTGGGTCATTTGGCCATTCAGTATGCGCGGAAGATGGGGTATCGGGTTGTAGCCATCTCGCGAGACTCGAAGAAGGAGAAGATGGTCCGGGAGCTGGGCGCGCACGAATATATTGACGAAAGTCAGGTTAATGTGAGCGAGGAGTTGCAGCGGCTGGGTGGAGCCTCTTTGGTCATGTCGACTGCGCCAAATGCGGCGATTATCAGTCCTTTGTTGAAGGGGTTGGGAGTTCTGGGAAAGTTATTGATCTTGTCTGGTAAGTACGGAAGAGATGATGGTTGAGCTGTTGTGGTGAGAACAAGGGGCTGACACTAGTCTTAGTGCCGGGTCCGGTGCCAGTGGACACCTCAATCATGGTAAGTTAGCTCTACACTAGGCGGGATACTGGATGTTGATGCTGGCTTCGCTAGGTCAATAAAGGACTATCGGTGCAGGTTTGGCCATCAGGCCATGCAACTGACAGCGAGGATGCTATTGCCTTCACCGAACTGCAGGATATCAACTGCATGGTGGAGGAGTTTCCGCTGGATAAGGCCAATGAGGCCTATGGTAAGACTCGCTATATGTCATTATATGATTAAAGAGGGCGCGTCCTGTGTGAAGGACAAGTGTGTGAAAATGGAATTTCGCTAGGTCAACTCCGTTGGGCCTGGTGGCTTCTTGACCACACCCTTCGCACGCGAACTTCAACCCTCTGAAATTGCACTTCTCACCATCAAGCTGAGACCTTAAGGACTGTCATACTGACTCGTGTATTCTCTGCACAGATGCCATGGTGAAAGGAACGGTCAGATTCCGCGCAGTCTTGACGATGGAGTAGCTCCTGTACTGTATTCCTCTGAGCGGGGACAGGAATCAGGTGCTTGGGCGAACAGGTCCGAGGCTCAGCTCTGTCTCAGTTTGAATCATTGTGATTTTTTGATAGTCTAAACGCCCACGAAGTGAAATGCTTGCTAGGATTGTCTTTTTTTCCGAGGCGGAAAGATACTGCACGAGTCAGTGACGTGCTCAAAATTAGCCGGGGATTCGAAGATCGTTACAGACCAAATCTTTTCCCCAATCAACTAGCTTTTTGTTCATAGATGATCTTCGAGGCTTCGCTGGATTATCAATGTCCGAGCACAGCACATGACCAGGATTACAATATTCACAAAATGAAGATAAATCGTATGGTACAACAAAGTCGAGGTCTGTAAGATAGAAGCCGTGTTTCAGGGCCAGTAGTCAGCTTCGTACCACTTAGAGCTCGGAGTCTGTCCGGTATCTCATGCAGGGCCTACGGAAGTTGTCCGTCGGCGGCTTCGACTCTTCTCGGCATTTACTCGCAGATTGAGTCCTAGGATGGGCCTCTTTAAGTGGGGCATAATCGCCGCAGTCAACATGTATCGATTTGTTGATTTGTAACCGTGTGCGGACTTATACTCCGACAACATGCTGTCCAATGAAAGTTGCGGGTCAAAGCCTCGCCACAGGTCTAAGGCCAATCTAGCACAAGATTCTAATAAGGGGGTATAATCAATACCATTTCGAGGCTGGTTGAACATATGAAATTGTGATATTGGTGCGAGTGAGGGGTGGGTTGCCCTGTCTTTTCTTAGGACGAATTGCTATCTTCCACGCTCTGGTGGAACTCTCTCTGAACCGTGATTGCATTCTTCGGCATCACTACCAGCTCTATCGTATCCTCTTCACTCTCCTCCGTGTGTGAGCCTTCATGTACTTGGGTCACAATTGTATTTCCAGTCTCATGGGTTGTTCCGTGGGACAGGTTGCCATTCGGTAGTCGAATCCATTGTTCATCATCAGCTGCACTGACGCCGCGGGGTCTTCGCCCAACACTTTTCGAGCCGTACATGTTCGACCCGTATCCGTACTGTCGGTGAGGTGTCTTGGGGGCGGACGAGCTATTGCCAGTACGGCTGGTCATCTTCTGAGCGGCTGAGCGGAAGAGCCGGTAAATGATCGGGAGGTTGGCGCAGAGGATGCCTCCAAAGGATTCGAAAGCGGACAGAACAGCCAAGGGGACACCCTCCCCTGCGTATGATGTCAGTCAATTGAAAACATGCCATGTTCGAACCCTTCAAATTGACTTACAGGTGATGTCACTAGAGTTCTGTGCGAAGACATAAGCTAGTCTGGCTGCACTAATGGCGCATGTGCTGGAGATGAACCATGGAGTATTAGATAAAAGCACCGGATGTAAAGCTTCCTGGACATAAAAGCCTTACATGAAGCCAATAGAGAATATGATACAAAGTGCAATCTTTTTGGTGGAGGTCGTGCGGAGCCGGAGAATGACAGGTATTGGTAAGGCGAAGATGAATATGTCCGTAAGCATATTAGAGCAGTTAATGTAGTATGACAGAGCCGAAGAATTGAAGCAGTGACCCTTGACAGACGGGTTCCAGAATGCAGCTAGCGGACGACAGAGCACTCCCATGAAGATTTCAATAGTTGTTATCCAAAGGCAGATAAAGATCGCGCATCCTATCACTGTTCTTGATAACCATTGCACAGGGAAAATGCGGTAGAATAGGGTGAGGATACCAAGCTTGGTCGACGCGAGACCTACGTTGTAGAGATGACTAGCAACATATTCTCCCTAATTGAGTTAATCCTTTGCTTCGAGCCAATCTGGGTTCATTGCACTGTACCTTTAAGAAGATTTCCAGGTCCTTCACCGAGACGGTGGAGGTATGTTTGCCAAAACCATGACCCAAACCTAGGGCTCTCAGTCATTTTTCTAGTTCTTTGTGATGCTACTTGCGTCACCTACCACATGCCATCATCGTCACTGAGTATGCCACTTCCAATGTCTACCTCCCAGAAATCAAATTGTCAGCTTCCATTGAGAAATTGGCCACCTTGGAAGGGAGAACCCACTGTTGCAAGCATTATCAGGTAGTCATCCATGCGAAACTTGTCATCCTGACCTCGAATCTTGACCATCAACCTCATTCCCGTGGTCAACAGCATCCCGGCCATTGGTACGACATAACCCACGATCACAAGAGCTTCTCTCGAGGCAGACTGCTCCGGGCTGGCCATGATGGCGAGTGAATCGCTCGGCAAGAGGCATCAGTCGACTTAGTTCTGCATCGAGGGTGTTGGTATGGAATATCAGGGAGAGCTGCAAGATTTTGATTCTTTGTCTGCAGCCTGCCATATCTGGCGCGCATATAGGGGCCCTAGAAGCCCCATCGTCTCGTAATTATCGCGCTCCTTCGAGGCGAGCTGACAGGCATTCGGTCCTTGCGCCCCGCTCGGAGACTGGCCGTCAGGTACGGAGTTTTGCTTTCACGGAGAAGGTACTTTCGAGATGGCGTGAGACAGGGATCTAGATCAAGATCCATACCAATGCCACTGCCGACAAGCCCGCTTCTCGGGACGGAGCGGGAACCGAGATGAGAAAGTGGACCATGGAAGGATCTCGCCTGCGCGTGCTTGCGTATTCCGTAAAATAGAAGACATTTTGAGACTGGCAGGAAGATGCAAGGCCAATGAAACATTCTATCGAGTAACAGGGATTAGGAATTGGGATCGCCGATGATGGCTCCAGGATAGGACCGACAAACAGTACAATACACTGCTACTAGTGTATTACCCGGGCGGTATCCGTTGTGACCGGACCCGGTACCGGGAGGGCCGCGGAGCCAAAAGAGCTGCCAAACTCAAGTTTCCGCTGTTCCCCCCTTCCTCTTCCCCACTTCGCGCGATCGACCATCTCCCTCGGAGTCCCGCCTTCTCCCTCCTTCTCCATTAGTTTGCGGTCCGCCATGCACCGACCAGACTTTAGTCACTTACAGGTGGCTCCTCATAAATTGATTTGTGGGAGTCACTGGCCTGATGGGTCAAACGAGGTTGGAGGTGGAGATAGTCAAAATCCTCCAACCATGGCCCTTTCCCCTCCAACTGTTGCTGCTGCCTTCCCGCAATTCACCCACAATTCGTGGTATCCTGCGCGTTTACATGACGACGACTTCCTGTTGCAGCACAAATCAGCCTCGCTACGACATTCCATTTCAGCAGCGTGAGACATGTTTCTCTCATGGTCTATAGCTGCCACTCCTCCGCCCGGGCCACCTCAGCCTCCCAAGCCCAAGGTGCGGTCTCGTACGGGCTGCAACACCTGTCGGCGTAGACGGGTAAAATGCGATGGTATGTATAACCGTTCCTCGAGCAGGAAGGCAGGAAGTGATGGCTCACATACAAGCGTTCCTTCCTGCTTCTAGAAACTCATCCCACTTGCATGCGATGCAGGCGGTCCGGATATGCATGCAGCTATGAGGTCCGCTTGCAGTGGGAGGACGAAATGCGTGCAGTAGGCAAGTGTCATGGACGAACAGGCGTTCAATCGAAGATGAACTCACTTGTGCGTAAACGATTGGCTGACACGGCCATGGAGCCGTGGACACGGACCAAACGCAAAGATCAGGATGATACCTGTCAGGCTGATGGCGAAGAGAAAGCTGTGTCGATCGGCTCTCCACCCGCCTGCCACAGTCCACAACAAAAAATGGTAGACAGCGACCAGGCTCCGGAATCCGTCTACCAGCGCCGCTACTATCAATGGGATCGACGCAAATCAGTGTCAATAGCCAGGGCACTGCCTGTTCTCCCATGGAGTATTGGCATACCGGACGTTGATCATTTGTGTCTCTCGTTCTATGAATCTGTCATGTGTCCCGTCGCTGTCACTGTTGACGATGAGGATAACAATCCGCTCCGCAGTACGGTGATGCGTATGGCTTTGAGGTCGGAGTTGACGTACTATGCAGTCCTCATGGCTAGTTCTCAGTATATGCGCTCGTTTGACTCGCGATACACAATCTTGGAGATGCAAGTGCGGCAACGGGTACTTGGAGGGTTGCGACAAGCATTGGCACGAGAGTCTTGGGACACTGAGGATGTCCTCGTGCCAACAATCTTTCTTTGCTCCTCGGCAGTGAGTGATGAAATCCTTTTGTGATGTCCTTCTGGTATCGACATTCGCCCTGATTATGATTACTAGATTTCTGCGAGCTGTGACTCATCCTGGGTGCGTCATTTTGCTTGCTTCCAGCTCCTTGTCAAGCGGGCAGCTCAAGGGAGCTTTTGCAAGTCCTTCCTGCACCGATTCTTTGTCAGTTACTTCTCTGCACATCTGGTACTCGCCAAGTCTATGTTTCCCATTGAGGGTTTGCTGCCCGTCGTTGAACCACCACTTTATCTTGACACTAAGAGCACACCGGCTCTTACCCTGGATCTGCGCGAGAGTTCCTGGACCTCGACAGCCGCCTTGTTGGGCGTGATGGATTCAAACACTCTTCATCAAATAGACATATGGAATGGCCTCGGTAACCACCTTCTACTCTTGATAAATGACACATTGACTATCAGAGAGGATGTTCTTGCTTCCAATCGCCGTCATACTTCGGATCTGCCGACCATGATTGTTGCAGCTCAAGCGTCAATTGAAACCAAGATACTAGGCTTGAGAGCCAGCATTGGCAATGTCACGCAAACGCTTCCAGATTCATCGTTAAACTACCGCCATGCCACCGAACGCGCTAACTCATACCGCTTGCTAGAACATACAGGCGAGGCTTATCGTCTTGCCGCTTTATTGCTCCTCTCTGAAGCATCCAAATCTTCATTCTTAGGGTTCACGCCAACTAATATCAAAGAGTTTGATTCCGTGCAAATACAGGACCACGTCCACACAATTCTTACTCTGGTGGATAAGATTGTATCAAAGCTAGACTTCTTACCCATCTCCTGGCCTCTATGGCCCCTCTTTATCGCGGCTTGTTGTAGCGACCCTGACTCGGAGGCACAGGCCAAGGCTCTAGCGTTGTTTCGGACTGCTCGAGAAAAAGCGCCATACGAAAACACAATGAGAGCACAGACCTTAGTTGAGCTGCTATGGAAACGCCGTACGCTAATCGGAGATGGAGTCACACAGATACGCGTTGGTCGCTTCGAATGGGAGGAGGTTATGGAGTTTCTAGGGTGGCAAACAAGTTTTGCTTGACTTGTTTGGCTTGAGATACAACAATGATTCAAAGACGACTACTTGAAGCGTTGACTTGCATCAGTCCTTTGCATATGATCTATGTTCTTGAGTCTAACAACGCAGAATTCAGGAGACTGTCATTACACTCAAAGATTAGACTCGTTGAAGTTCGTCTCCCCGGCCATCATTCTACTTTTTTTCAGTTAGAGGCAATATCGGTAGCTCTGATTCTGCCAATCAGAGACATCTCCGTCACCACCCATGTCGAAGGACGCATCAGTCGCATCGTCCGCCTTGCTTGACTCGGGCTCGATGGTTCGTCCCTGCTTGCGATCGCGTCGCTTGTTTTCCCAGACCATATAGCAGCGGAAGCCAATGACATCAAGTACAGCAAGGCAGAAGCACGCAAGGATTGCTGAGAATGCAGTCTAGTGCAGAAGTTAGCTGATTTGTCACTCTTCGAAGCATTAGAAATCCACTTACGTTATAGCGAGGGGCCTCGGTGCTCTTGAAAAGTTGCGGACCAGCAATGTTGCCAACACAATAGGCAATGAAAATAAGAGCAGTCACGGTGCCCTTCTTGGTAAAGCCCGCTGTGTTGCTGGAGACCAAACTTAGGCTCAGTGGCCAGCCGGCTCCGAAGACAGTCACGAGCCAGACTCCCACCAGTCTACCCCATTTCCGATGCGTGGGTAATTGCCGCATGAGAAGGATACCGACCAGACTGATCAAGGGAGTGAAGATCATCCAGTAGCAGCGCATGCCAGGGAAACGGTTGCACGTCACTGCGATGGCAAAGAGCATGACAAGAGCGACAGCAGACAAGGGGATCTCGTATAGTAGTGTGTGAAAAGTGTCAAAACCGAATGACTCGATGACAATACTGGCGAACTACTTAGACTCAGCAGGTTGCTTTTTGCCGGGCTCTTCTGGAGTAGTCTCGGAGCGGGTCTACTGGGAAACTTACATTGGTGATGCCGCCATTCGGCAATGAGACAAAGAAGTTGTACAACACTAGGAACCAAGTATTTGGATCGACCAGCGCCTCAATGAACTGGTCTTTCTTCCACCTCCGACTCTGATAACTCTTCTGAGATGCTTGTGCACGATGGTAGGCTGAGCCTCGCTGATCAGACTTGAGGAACTTGGCGTTGAGGGGCGAATCGGGCAGAGTGAAGAACAGGAAAGCCGACCACGCGATTGAAATCAGGCCGAATATGATGAACAGCCACTATTCGAGGACAAGGAACTGTCAGTCAGTAGGTTCAACAAGTTTCAGCTTCGTGGCAATGCCTGGTGTCTTAGCCTTGCCGTGAGCTGCATTCCACATACCTGCCAGGCGCCCAAATGATCATCAATATGACCAATGGCGTACGCAAGCACACCTCCAAAGATGGCGGCTATTCCGTTTCCCGAAAACCAGATGCAACTCCTCATCGCATGCTCAGACGGGGTATACCACATGCCAATCAGCATGGTAAATCCCGGGCTGATTGCACTTTCGAACACCCCGAGAAGGACTCTCAGTGAGGTCAAACCAGCGAAATTCGAAGCTGCTGCATGACAGGTCAGGATAACAGCCCACAGGATCCTTCACCATATGTCAGCTCGACTCATTGAATGCAAGGCTGCTTCATTGAGGGGTAGAAAGAGGGCTAACATCATAACAGAAAGGTATTTTCCGATGGGGAACTTGATGAAACCCAATGACACGGGATACGAGGCAACGAGGTAGCCGAAGTAAAATGCGCTTGATGCCCATGCATATTGTGCAGTGGTTATATGCTAGCTCCGCCACGAAACGTTAAATCAAAATGAGTTATGGTTGAGGATGGTCAAACAATCATACCGTTCCACTCAGAAGGCCTAGGATTGAGGTATAGGATAGAGTTGTTTTGTCGAGGTACTGCAGCAAGTACGAGAAGAACATCAGGGGAAGCAAGCTATAACGACGAGTGTCAGGTTAGGTCTTCCTGAGAATATCCTGAGATATGTATCGAGTCTCGGCCTCAAGACAGCGACGTACCAGAGGTCAATTCGACGCAGGATGGCTTTCTGTTCCATATCCGAGATATGCTGAACATCGTCGACAGATTCATGAGGGCCTTTGGAGAACGACTTCTCGTCCGCCGTCATAGGCGGCGTGGTATCCTCCGAAGGAGCCATACTTTGTGTCTTGTTCCTCCGCTGGTGATGTGACAGAATCCTTTGCCTCTTTCGATGTTTCGAAATTCGAACTGAAGATGGCAGAACATTCGAGAGGCGGGCAGGTAGAAGTACCTCACCCGATCACAGCATGCTTTCGCTCATTCGAATGTACTTCGCGCGCAATTAATTAACGGGCGGAGGCTTGTTTCGCCCTATGCGGGCCTGGTGTCTGCTAGTCTACCGGTGGCTGTATTATTTCACCAGTTTTACCGTCACGTCTGGTATGTCTCACTATTCTCAATTGGGGTCGAAAACTGCTCGTTTCGACCTACTTCATTGACCCGTGCATAGCAAATGTGGACCACGTCAGAGATTGAGGATACCATCTATTTGAATCGTGCAATGCGCGCATTGTGGTTGTACGACGAACGGTCGTATGAGCATCAAAGCTCTCGTGTTGACGAGGTCCTATCCTGAGCGACATCTGCTCCGTGCCATGCCACCCAGGAACTAGAAAAAACATGTTTTGAGTACTTTTTTCGCACACTCGCCTGTCTAGGTGCGTGCTTTGGCCAGTATGGCATGGTCTGCAATGGCTTGCTGTCAGTGTGTCACTGTCCAGGCACGGCTCATATGTGACCGGCCCGCAAGGGCATCTATACTTACCTTAGTCACAGGAAATGCGGACCAGTGTCCTGGAGCCATCGGAGCATCTGTGGAGCATGCAGCCTAGCGAAAGTGCTATAATATAAGCAGACTCAGAGGCTCGGCTTTGAAGACATCCCTAATCATGACTCCGTGGATTCACCCCTGACTCCTCCTTTCCACCCCTGCATCTAATTTCACGACAACCTTGATGCAATAATGTATCGATCACTTACAGACGACAGCCTCTACCGCATCGATGCCGATCTCCTCATTCCGGGGCAGGGAGAGCCCCTTCTCCACGGTGCCGTGGTCTGGAAGTCCAAGTCTATTCTCTACGTGGGACGTCAAACCGACGTGCCTCAAGAATACCAAGATGCAGCGGCGTCGCACGTTCCCGTGGTGATGCCGGGGCTGTGGGATTGCCATATCCACTACATGGGCGCTACGTCGGCGACGATGGACGCGGTCGTCAAAACCACACCCGCTTTAGCCGGGGCCCGAAGCGTCCCCGACCTCCACGCAACTATCATGGCAGGGTTCACCTCCGTCCGTGAAGTAGGTGGCTACGGGTGCGAACTCGCGCTTGCCGTGAACGAGGGCCGCATCCTCGGGCCCACCATCTACGGCGCTCACAGCGCCATCAGCATGACCGCCGGCCACGGCGACGTGCACGGCATGCCCCTTCATCAACTCCAGGACATGTGCGCCCACGGGCTCCCCCTGACCATTGCCGATGGGGTGCCAGATTGTCTGCAAGCCGTGCGCAAGCAGCTCCGTCACGGCGCACGCGTGATCAAGGTCTGCGCCAGCGGCGGGGTCGTCAGCGCCATCGACGACCCCCAGCACCAGGAGTTCTCCTTCGAGGAGATGAAAGCTATCGTTGACGAGGCTGCGCGCGCCAAACGCGTCGTCGCCGCCCACTGCCACGGCAAGGCTGGGATCATGAACGCGCTGCGCGCCGGGTGTCGCACCATCGAGCACGGCAGCTTCCTCGACGAGGAGGCCGTCGAGCTGATGCGCGAGAAAGGCGCCATCCTCGTCGCCACCCGCAGCGTGATTGAGACGGGCCTATCGATGCGCCAGCTCTTCACGCCGGGATCATATCAGAAGCTGCTCGAAGTTGCTGATGCACACAAGCAGGCGTATCGGTTGGCGGTTGCGCGCGGGGTCACCATCGCCCTGGGCACGGATCAGTTCATCAGCTCGGATAATCCGGCTTTTGCGTATGGGCGCAACGGCAAGGAGCTGGAATACGCGGTGGAGGCGGGAATGACGCCCTTGGCTGCGATTGAGGCCGCCACGGCGAATGGGCCGTTGACGCTGGGGGACCAGGCGCCCAAGAGTGGGCGGCTGCTCGCTGGGTATGATGCCGATATCATTGCGTTAGCGGCCAATCCGCTCGAGGATATCACGATAATAGGGAATTCGAAGAACGTGACGCATGTTTGGCGTCAGGGAAAATCGGTCAAGTCATAGAATTCATCTCGGTAGTAATATTGTCAGTCAAATTTCATGAGCAGCCCAACAAAGTAGTACAGTAGAACGCTGAAAAAGGAGGGAAGGGGATGAGCTTGATTTATGCTCCTTTAGTGATTACAAGATGGTGGTGATTGATCACAATGACGCCAGGTGCATTCATGGTTTGGTTCAGCCTCGTCTTGTGTCTTGCCTTCAGCCCGCTCATCTCGCTAGACGCTGCATCATGATTTCGCTTCTCTCCTCTCCGTAGATGGGAGCGGGTTGGAGCAGGCAGGACCAAGCAGTGAGACTGGAATCATTAACCGCTTTTCTGTGTCGTTCTTTTGATCTGTCCTTAGTTCCATGTGGAAGTAGTCTCAATCGTTCACCAAGTCAGGGCCTTCTACGAATGGCATATGTGCCATACCGCTGCACCAATCAGCTGTTCAGACAGAGATTGATCATTATCCTAGCCCGTGAACCAAAGCTCTGACTAACATCACCAAAGGGACAGTGGTGTGAGGTGAGGCTAGTTGTGGGTGCCATATTTCGACAAACAAATCCACATCCACGCACTCCTTCCGGGTGTCTTGGATAGCTTTTGGTGTGAAAAATATAGAGTACTTCTGCATGGACCCATAAAATGCTTCTATTGAGCAAGAGCCTAGCATAGACCAATTGCAATCCACATCGTCGGGTCTAGTAGCTCAAGTCAGATCGTACATTCTGGGGCAGACATGTTCCGCAAGATGTGTTGTTCTTCGCAAGTGGTAATGGTTGGCGTGTTTACTATCCATCCAGAAGGGATAAATGTAAATGGCGGTGAGGGATGGCAATATGCATGTGGCCGTACCGACAAGGAGTAGTCGCAATTGCAACGAGGTAACCGCAAGATCCTACCAAGTCTTCGATGGGGCCATTATTCTTCAGGCCCCTTAGCTACTCATGATGGCCCCGAGGGATGAAGGGAAAAGGTCAAATTCAGAGTACCTGTCAAACGGAAACGACACCGCCCCGCGCCGCTCATCCTTCGAACCCAAGCAGCCGTTCCCGCCTCTCCCCGCGGACGATTTCGCGACCAACACTGTCGTCGAGGTACAAACCAACACATATACCGAGAATGATGACAACCAGGATCTGCCGTCGCCCTTGCACGCAGACATAGAAGCCGAGGACGATGCAGACTTCCAGTCGCAATACTCTCTGGACGACCAATCATTCTCCGATGCATCCACGGACTCGGAGCCATCGCCGGAGGATGGCATCTCCATGCATCATCCATTCCGGCAGTCGTCCGGCTCACTGCACGGTCCGAACGCGTTTGCACCTCCATTCTACAATCGCCCTCCGACACCACTACCACCTTCTCCCTCGTTGACCTCTCTCCTTCGCCCTCCGTTCTCCACCACCACTTCGCGACCGACCACCCCCGACAGCTCGGATGTGGAAACGCCCAACGACACGGAGGCTGCTGTCGCGAAGTCCGCGCGGCGGGCAACAACAGTCCCACGGGCTAGCCCCAAGGTTCCGACGTATGAATACTACGGCTTCGTTCTGTATCTTGCGTCCTCGTTGGCCTTCTGTGAGTGCAACCCCGGGCTGAAACCCAGCGCAACGAGCAAGTCTAATCACCTTTTCTTCCCTAGTGATCTACATCCTTTGGTCCTACCTCCCCTCCCCCTTCCTTCACCAACTCGGTATATACTACTATCCCAACCGATGGTGGTCACTGGCCTTCCCTTCCTGGCTAGTCATGTCTATCATCTACATCTATGTCGCGCTAGCCTCGTACAACACCGGCTATCTCACGCTGCCGATGAACAGCGTGGAGAATATTGTGGACGAGGTGGCCAATGTCGCGGTCATTGACGGCAAGGGTCGACGACGACCCGGGGGCGGAGCCAAGATGAGGCCCGGTGCGACATCGTACCAGATCATGGGCCCGCAGAACCGTAAGATCAACTGGAAGGAGATCTGGAGCGAAGGTACAGATGCTGTGCTGGATGTTCCTGTGGGCGGTGTCTGTGAGGTTCTGTACGGGCAGGAAAGGGATGATGATGAGTTATGTGAGGATTTTGTTGAGTATTCATGATTTGAGTTGCGGCAGCAATTCGCGTCGAGATAATGATTGAGTGGCAGGAATGTGCCAGCTCGGACCTCAGCCTGTCGCGGATGCGCTTCTCCTGACTCTTCTTATCGTAGTTACTTCCTTCCTTATCATCACGTGAAAGGAATCACAGCCCGCTCTCCCTTTTTGTGCGTCCTTCCTGTCATAGTGGTAAAATGCGCAGGATTGACGAACCTTCCATGTAATTCCTGACTGTTTTCTAGCGATTCTTTGTGGCTATTGTAGAGGTAGGTATTGAGGTCTATATGCAGCGAGACTTGCCCCCATCTGAGTGGACGGAAAAGAGTGCCATAGGTTTTTTTTTTTTTTTTTGGATCTATCACAGAGCTTAATGGTAGCTTAGCCCAGTACGTAGTACTTTTGAAGTGGACTTTGACTTTAGGTAGTAGGCAGGGTGCAAAGCAGTCCAGTCGCCAACACTACCACCCTTATCGCACTACTCCACCCCGATAGACACACTTTTGAGTCAATTGCGACAGCTGGTCTATTGACCGCAATGGATTCAAAGAGGTTGGGAAAAGTCAATGCCCCGTGGCCAGCCCATCACTTCTCTTTCACCAGCCAGCGCTAAAAGCGGTTAAGGCCGCGTGGGCGCCTAGGGAGCCAACGACAGCTCGGCGGCGGCGGTGGCTTTCCCCGACCTCAACTCACAAGCAGCAACTGGAGAGAAACGCGCACCGGTGACCACTCAGTGACCAGTGACCAGCGACCAGTGAACCAGTGACCACCGTCCCAGCAGTCCCTCCACCACTACCACCACCAAACAACCCCCCCCCCAAATCTCTCGGCTCAAGCTTGCATCGCTGACCCTTCTCCTTTCCTTGTCCGCTGGAAGTTCCCTCCTGCGACCGTTGATTCTTCTCACAGCGAGATTTCGCATTGTTTGTTTTCCTATCCATCGGTGCTGACCCGGTCTGGAACGTGGTGTCCTGCCGTTGTCGCCCCGTCATTGACCCTGTTGAACTTACCACCACCTATCTTCCAAACAGAAGTGCGACCTCCCCCCCGAGAGTTCCACTGATCAGTATCGCTCCCCCCTCCTCAGCTCGGACCATTTTCCCTCCGCTTGCGATCGCCGGAGCTCATATTCCGGCTCGCCTCGCCGCCTGATCGTCCGCTTCCCCCATTCCCATTGTTAATCTCGCATGGCTTGGCAGTCTCCCTCGGCCATGGCTGGGGGTGGAGGCTTCGTCGGGCCCGGAGGTGATGGGTCCCCCAATGGCGGGCAACCCCAGGGCACAGAATACACTTTACAAGGTGAGTCCAGGCTCCGAGGTTTGGGCGCGGAATCCATGGGAGGGACACGAATGCTAATTCTTCCCTTGTCCGTTTTGTTATGGTGGTGTAGGTGTGATGCGCTTTCTGCAGACCGAATGGCACCGGCACGAACGAGACCGCAACGCCTGGGAGATTGAGCGCGCGGAGATGAAGTCCCGCATTGGCAAGCTAGAGGGCGATGTTCGCACGAGTAAACGCTTACATGAGTCGCTGGGGAAGCACGTCCGCTTGCTGGAGGCCGCCCTGAAGAAGGAGCGCGAGAAGGTCAAGAAGCTCAGTAACAATGAGAAGGTCGATGTCACTCGAGATCCGAAGGAGATCGCCCGGGAGAGCATCAATGCGTTAAAAGGTTTCTCTTCTCTCTTTCTCCTGCTGTATTATAACTTGTCTGCTCGCCCTTCACGATTGACTGACTATCTAACCCGTCTTAGCTCAACATCCTCGGCCGCAAGGCGATGTGACCGATGCGGAGCACAATCCTGAGAACCACCACGAGTTCCGCCAGGAGAACGAGCGGGATAAGTCGCGGTTATATCTGTCCAAGTGCTCGCAAGAAGTTGCGTACCATGTCATTCCTTCATCCCACCCGCCCCCCGATCTCAGTGATCAAGACCTTCCGAACCATATCTACGGCAATCAGCAGCAAATGTCACAACAGACCTTGGAGGAGGTCTACCTGCAGCAACAGCGGCAGAAACAACACCAGCAGCAGCAGGCGAACAACATGATGGCTCGGGAAGTGGCCCTGCAGAATCACCAGCCCATCATCACGCATTTCCCGGACAACGCCGCCCTTTCTCGTGCTCCTAGCCAGTTTGGCTATCCTCCTGGCTCGAGGGAGGCAATGGAGAGAAGACCCATGGAACCGCAACAGACCCCGATTACTGCCCTGGAAAACCGGAAGCAAGGGTTCGAATCTGCCCCAATGGAAGAGCGTGCTGGCACGGGGGAGCAGGTATATAATGGATACGGTTCGCAAGTAACAACCAAGGAGGAGACCCGGCAACCTCAACCTGTAGACGATGCAGATGGTTGGAATTTTGATGAACCTGCGGATGCAGCTCCCCCTGCTGAGCAAATATCTCCTCACCGCCCCGATGTCGATGCTTTCCCAAATGCCAATTTTGTGGGCGCCAAGTCTCCGGCGCGGGGTGGTTCAGTCTCCCATCGCCGAAAGAGCTCCGGTGCCAGAAGGAAGAGTGAAGGTGCTGCAGATCTTGCGGCATCGAAACCAGATACTTCCTTCAAGGTTCGTTTCGCTCTCCGAGGTCACTTGGATGTTGTCCGTTCCGTGATCTTCACGGGTGGCGGCAGCCCTTCAGAGCCTGAGATCTGCACGTGCGGCGATGATGGGACCGTCAAGCGCTGGATTATTCCGGCAACCTATGGTACGTTTGGCGCCCATGGCGCCAACTCGAGCAACGATCTGGACATCACGAGCTACTTCACCCACCGCGGACATGTAGGAGCTGTGACTGCGCTAGCGGCTTGCTCGCCGTCACAGAACTTCTCCAACGGTGGTCGCGCGCTTGGCGATGGGTGGGTGTTCTCCGGGGGACAGGACTCCAGCGTGCGTGTCTGGGAACGTGGAAGGGTTGATCCCAAGGCCACACTTGAAGGTCACACGGATGCAGTATGGGGCCTGTGTGTTCTTCCTGGAACCGCGGGATCTGTCTTTGGCGATTCCTGCAGCCATTACGGCGGGCCTGATCGGATCCTGCTTGCGTCGGGTGGTGCCGATGGGCGGATTATCATCTGGGCAGTCAGCGCACCACCTCAGCTTTCGTCACCTCAAGCAGGATCCCGACGAGCGGGAGGCAGCCGGCGAGCTAACTCTATCTCGTCCGGTTCCAACTTCCCATCGTCGCCACAGCCGAGCACGGCAACCACCACGCCGTTCCACTACACAATGGTCCGTCAGATCGTGCGCTCGGATTCCCCTTCGCCTACGTGTATCAGTCCATTGTCGCTTGCAGGTATCAACTTTGTTGTCTCGTACACCGACGCATCGATCCTAGTTTACGATACGAGGACGGGTGAGGAAATTGCAGGGATGGCCAGTCTAGAAACGTACGACGGCACGCCCTCGACCGGGGTCAATGCGGTTGTTGCCACAACAGTCGGATTTGATGGCTCGGCCGGCCTTGATCCCAGCCGGACAATGGCGGAAGAGGAGGTTGTTCATGGTGCGACTGGGTCAAGCGGTGCCGAGGGGGTGATTATCAGCGGATACGAGGACCGTTATATTCGTTTCTTCGATGCTAACAGCGGTATGTCATGTTCTGACGATGACTTTTTCGCGGATACTAATTTGCACTCGTCCAGGCCAATGCACATACACTATGCTCGCTCACCCGTCAGCGATTGCCTCGCTCTCCCTGTCTCCAGATGGACGAGAGCTTGTGTCGGCAGGCCACGACGCTAGTCTGCGGTTTTGGAACCTCGAGAAGCGGAGCTGCACTCAAGAAATCACGAGTCACCGGCTGATGCGTGGTGAAGGAGTGTGTTCTGCCGTGTGGAGCCGCGACGGCCGCTGGGTAGTCAGTGGAGGAGGCGATGGCGTCGTCAAGGTCTTCTCGAGATAACGAGGGGGGTTAATTTAAAGCTTCCGCGATGTATGAATCCGTTTCTTTTTGTTTCCAGCTGATACTTTCTTATGGCATGTTCCTTGGACGCATGAAATGGATGAGCGATTGGCCAGTTTCTTGAGCATTTGCAACGGTCTTTAATACCTGGCATATGTTCCTTTCTACTTTGTGATTATAGTTCTTATTTTCCTCTTCATACCTTTTTTTATTCGATCGGCTGCATCGCTCGCCTCCTTTTCCTTTCGGGGACATTGTGCTTCCCCAGTTTGATACATTTTCCAACCAGATAACATCATGGGACTGGAATCAAGACGGCTGCAGCTTTGTGTTGCGATTGTTCAAGCATTCTACCCTAGGTTGTGGCAAGGACTCCGGATTTCTGTTACACTAAGCTTACTGATACCTCTGCCATGCATCTTGTGTATGCATCTTACATCGTCATCGTCTTCGTGAACATCTACCGTGCTTCCTTGGATGCTGTGCGGTTTTTTGATCCTCTAGTATGCCCGGGGTTGTGCTTCTGGGCTGTATAATGATTGCCGTGTTTGCTATCCTCTTGCGTTAGAACCTTCCTGAATGGATCTGTACATTTTCTGCCCCTACGTGGCTGGACATAATACTTGAGTATTAGACGTACACCACCCGCTGCACTAGCTGGAGCACCAATTGAGGCACATCGTACACAAGAAAGAAGATTTGATATTCACATCCCCAACATTAGATATAAACAAGGGTGTCATTTACCCTTTAGGTATCGTACCCCACCCACCAAGCCATCAACCCGAACAAAGGACCAAGGACAAAGGGCAAAGAACATCACTTGCTCCCCTCCCACGCCTCGCGAAACAGCCCCCTCAACCTTCTCGCCTCCTCCGCATCCTTCACCCTCTGCTCCAAGAACCCCTGCAAATCCTCCCAAAACGCCTCCGTCTTGACCACCTCCTCCCCACTCGGCCCAACCGCCGGCTTGCTAACCGGCTCCGCTGCCGTATCGCCCTCGTGTTCTCCTTGTCCTTCACCCCCAGCAACAACCCTCCCACCCCCGAGCACCATAACCGCAACCTCCACCTCCTTCCCGCCGACCAACAACGCCGGCTCCTCGCTCAGCATCTCCGCCAGCGTCTTGTTCCCCGTGACGGGCTTCTTGCGGTAGAGGATCTTGATCTTCTCGAGCGCGGGCTTCGCGTTCGCAGTGTCGACGATCCGCGCCCGCACCGCGTCCTTCAGGTCGGTGGCGGTCGTCGTGGCGAGGGGCACGTTGGGCAGGCGGAGTTCCAGCGCCGGGTTGCGGGCGGATTTCAGGACCACGGTGATGGATTTCGAGGAGCCCGGGGCGGCCGCGGCGGGGGTTTTCTTCTTGGGCATTGTTGTTGGGCGTGGGGGTTGGAGGCGGGGAAGGAGGTGCTGTTTCTTCTGTTAGGGCTTTGGTTTGGATTGGGGGGCAATAAGGGGAGGAGGGGGGTATAGGGGTATGGGGGAAGGAGTTGAATGGGGTATGGGCAATGGAGGGCAAGGGACTATGGGCTGCGGAGGACGTACTGGTATGCGGGCGTTGGGGTCGTCGTGGACATAGTCGGCTCGGAGCTTGATGGGTCGGCTGTCCAGGGCGGAGAGGAAGGCTTTGGCGAAGGAGATTTCGGAGGCCATTTTGATGAACAAGGAAAAATTCCCCTTGGGGAGAGGTGTGGTTTGTAGTGTGTTTGGTTTGTGGTTTTGGGGAGAAGGAAAAGAGGTGGTGAAGTGTGGGGGGGAGGGGGGTAGATATGATGTCGATGGATGGAATTACCCGATCGGGATCGTAGGATGTTGTTGATGCAGCCGCAGATTGCGTCTCTGCCTTAGGCAGCAGTAAAGGCGGTGGGCGCACCGCACTTGCTGGCTCTGACCGCCCGCGGGAAAAAATGTACGGCGATGGAAAGAAAAAAAAGTTTAGATCTTTCCCCCGAGTTGATCAGACAGGAACCGACTTGTCAAACCTCCCTTTTTTCCCGAATTTCTGTCACAGTCCTTATTCACTATGGGTCGGGGAAATCGCATGAAGAAGCAGGGTCCTCCTGCCCCGCTGGATGAGTCCAAGATCACCATCTACAAAAAGCGCAAGGCCACTGAACCCCAGACCAAGCCCGCCGAGTCGGGCAAGAAGCGGAGAAGAGCGGCCGCTGAGGAGGAGGAGGAGGAGGAGTCCGTCAAGCCCGTCGCCAAGAAGAAGGCCAATGGTGCTGTGAACGGCAAGGCGACCAAGGTCGAGGCTAAGCCCAAGGCTAAGTCTCAGGGCAAGGAGCAGAAAAAGCCCGCCGCGGCGAAGAAGTCGAGTTTCATGGATTCGGACGACGAGGCGGAGGAGGATGATGAGGATGCGTGGTCCGACTTGGACGACGAGGAGATGCAGGACGATGAGTTCGGCGACCTCGATGCCGTGAGCGATGACGAGATGGCCTCCGATGATGATGACTCGGTTGTCGACTCCGAGGACGACGACCACCCCCGCGAAGCCATGTTCTCCGACGATGAAGACCTTTCCGACGCGGAGGAGAGGCTGACGGCTGCCAACATTGAGGGTCTATCCCGGAAATTGGATATGGCGAGACAGGAGGAGGAGGAAGAGGCCGAGCTCGAATTGCAGGAATCCGCCATGCAGACCAACATCGCGGGCGACCGTCCCGACGTCTTCGCCGACGACGTGGGCCAGCCCGGTCTGGCCCCCGACCTCCAGCTGCTCCGCACGAGAATCACCGACACCATCCGTATCCTGGGCGACCTGAAGACCCTCGGCCAGCCCGGAAAGTCGCGAACCGACTACGTCAACCTGCTCCTCGGCGACATCTGCACCTACTACGGCTACACGCCCTACCTCGCCGAGAAGCTCTTCAACCTCTTCACCCCCATGGAGGCGTTTGCCTTCTTCGAAGCCAACGAAACCCCGCGTCCTGTTGTTATCCGTACGAACACCCTGCGCACCAACCGTCGGTCATTGGCCCAGGCTTTGATCAACCGCGGTGTGGTCCTCGAGCCTGTCGGAAAGTGGTCCAAGGTCGGTCTGCAGGTCTTCGAGTCTGCCGTTCCCCTGGGTGCCACTCCCGAGTACCTGGCCGGTCACTACATTCTCCAGGCCGCCTCCTCCTTCCTTCCCGTCATGGCCCTGGCCCCTCAACCCAACGAGCGTGTTCTCGATATGGCCTCCGCCCCCGGTGGTAAGACCACTTACATCTCGGCTCTGATGCGGAACACCGGTACCGTCATCGCCAATGATGCCAGCAAGCCCCGTGCCAAGGGTTTGATTGGTAACATCCACCGTCTCGGCTGCAAGAATACCATCGTGACCAACATGGATGCCCGCACTGCCTTCCCCAAGGCCATGGGCGGCTTCGACCGTGTCCTTCTCGATGCTCCCTGTACCGGTACCGGCGTTATTTCCAAGGATCCCAGCGTCAAGACCTCCAAGAACGAGCGTGACTTCCTTGCCATTCCCCACATGCAACGCCAGCTGCTTCTGGCCGCCATCGACTCCGTCGACCACAACTCCAAGACGGGAGGCTACGTCGTCTACTCGACCTGTAGTGTTACCGTGGAGGAGAACGAGGCGGTGGTCAACTACATTCTGCGCAAGCGCCCCAACGTCAAGCTCGTCGACACTGGTCTGGGTGACTTCGGTAGCCCCGGTATGACCAGCTACATGGGCAAGCACTTCGACGCCAAGATGACCTTGACCCGCCGGTACTTCCCCCACCGTGAGAACGTCGACGGTTTCTTCGTCTGCAAGCTCAAGAAGACCGGCCCGTCCCCGACCGGCAAGCCCGGCGACGCCGCCGCCGCCGCCGCAACCACCAAGTCCGACCGCAAGGCCAGCAAGTCCCCGTCCGCCCCCTCCACCGACGACGAGAGCATCGACAAGACCCCGATTGTTGACGAAGACGGCATGGTTCTGGAGACCGAGGGTGGCTCGTTCGGTCCCTTCGAGGAAGACAACCAGGACGCCGAGCGCATTGCCCGCGCGGAGCGCAACCGCCTGCGTCGCAAGGGTCTCAACCCGAAGGCCGTGAAGCCCGCCAAATCCTCCAAGCCCAAGAGCGAATCCGAAACCGAGAAGCCCGCCGTGGAGGCCTCCCCTAAGACGGAGAAGAAGAAGGCGGCTGATGCCGACACCAAGGCCAAGAAGGATGAGGCTACTTCGTCCCCGGCCGCCAAGAAGCCCGCGAAGAAGACCAAGACGCAAGAATCCACCCCGGCCACCTCTACAACTACTCCCTCCGACAAGAAGAAGAGCGCCGCGAAGAAGCAGGCCGATAACAAGAGCGGAAAGTCCAAGAAGCCTGCCAAGAAATAAGAGAGGGCGGCAGTTGGGTTTGCATATATTATGTCTGGTTTGAAACAAAAGCATTAGTCTCGTGTTTGGTATGGGTGGCGCATACTTTGTTTTCTTTTAGTGTTTTGAAATGGATAGATAGCTTCGGTTTGAAGTTCGTCAATAGATACCATTATGTTTGTGCAAAGGCTAGACTGATTGACTACTGTATTTTGTGATAGGGTTAGAGTGTAGGTGGATGGTGTCAATGAATCATCGACACTGATACTGAGTTGAGTGTCTGGCTCGTCTCCGCGTCAAGCATGTTTACATCTGAGGAAGTCTGGTTCACAGCCCAGCAAACCCAGCCATGCAACTAGAATCAGAACCAAGTCTTGACGTTGAGGCTTGCCCTATGCTTTGCCTTTGTAAACTCACCCTCAAGCAGGAGACCCTATATGTAGGACCTACCAGTCCGCATCCATCGAGCACATATCTACCTCTGTGCAAACAATCCCACGACCTCAAATCCAACCCCAACCCCAACCCCTCTAACAATCACTCTTACGCACTGCACACCTGAGCTCAACCATTCATCATCTCCCAAAATCACATACAACATCACACGCAACCCCAGGAAATCCAGCAATATCCGAACCCCCCCAAAAAATGAACCCCACCCTCCTCTCAACCATCCTCCCCCTCCTTTCCTTAATCGAAGGGATCGAAGCCTGCTACACCGGCGACCACAACAACTGCAACTGGGAGGGCAGCGCGCCGGCGTGCGGCACCAGCCCGGACCACGTGGGCACCGAGGACGCGCAGGGCCGCACCTTCGTCGCCACGACCGAGTTCGGCACCGCCCGGTACTTTTGCGACTGGGAGCGGGGGCAGCCCCGCGGCGGGGACTGCTGCCAGGCTTACGGGAATGGGTGCTGGAGTGGGTATAAGCGGTTGTGGTGTGCGGATCGGAAGTGTTGATTTTCTTTCCCTTGGGGGGTTTAACGGGGGGATAAAGGGTTAGTTGGGGTGGATGGGAGGGGGCGGGGCTCTTAGCTGGTTGTTTGCGGGGGAAGTTGTATGCACTTTGTCGTTGGGCTTTTGCTCTCGGTGGGCTATTGGGATTATTGGAGATGAGGGAGGGATACGGATGGATGACTGCAGGGCTGGGGCTTGTGTTTGGGTGGTATTTGGATGTGGATGAGGGTTGGACTGGATAAGGGAGGGCTGTTGGGAAGGGATTAATGGGGTTGGGTTCTTTGGCAGATGTTGTATGTTAAGGTGTAGCAGAGTTAAGAAAGCCGACTGATCGATCTGCTGAGCCTCGAACGTACTTTTACAGACAAGCGGGACTGCAGGTGACAAGGCATGGATTGTAAGCAACAAAGCAAGAGTTCTGAGCAACGATCTTCATTCAGACGTTTATGGACAAGCATCTTATCTTTCAAACTTTGCTATGCATCAAGCAAAAGAACTTCAAAAAGCAGGCAGCAGGCAGGTATCTAACGGAAAGCACCACGCTATCTAAGCATCCCCTTCATATATCCATAGCCATAACTTCTAAACCATTCAACACCTTGTCATTCCATTCTGTACCATTCAGAATAATCCCCAATGCAATTTCAAAATCAATACCGGTCAAGTTCGGTAAATCTTCACCACGCTGATGATGCTCTTCCGACAGATCGGGCAGAGATCCACTTGGCGAGCACACGTCACGCACGCGCAGACATGTCCACAGTCATAGAACAGGGCATCCTGCTCGTCGCCATAGCAGATCTGACACAGATCCATCTCCTCGTCCGCCACTTCCCAGTAGCTAATACCCTTGCCGTGGCGCTTGCCGTCCTTGTAGCCACCCACGTACTTGTTGCCGGTCTTGCGCTCGACAAAGGTACCCTGACCGTGGCAGACACCCTCGGACCAGTCGCCTTCATAGGTATCGCCAATCGGGTACTCCATATAGCCGCTGCCGTGGCGCTTGCCGAGCACGAAATCACCCACGTACGTGGCCGCAAGGTCGGAGACGTGCGTGCCCTTGCCGTGGAAGTAACCCTTCATGAATTCACCGCTGTAGTACTCACTGGTGAACGTGGCCCTGAGGGTCTTCGTACCCGTGTGAGCCCGCGTAGGATGTCTGCGCGAGGCGGCCCACAAATAGCGAACAAGTTGGTCAGGGTTGGCGAACATGCCCTCAATGTTGAGTTTGAGACGGCGATCCTTGTTAACTTTATCCCCAACTATAAAGCAGGTACCATCCGGCACGAAAGTCTCGAACGTCTCACCGGAAGCCATGGTGGTCACGTTAGTACCATCCACACGCTGCCAGACCTGGAAGTCCTTCATTGGCGCCCACTTGAGATGCTTGCGAATAGCGGCCTTAACGTTTTCTTCCTTCTTCGAGAAGAAAGAGCCCACGGTCCGTAGGATCTGCGCCTCAATGTCGAAGACTTGGATGAAGTAGTACACGTGCTCCACTGGTTGAGGGACTTCAACCTCTGCAGGGGCATCCACGCTCACAACAGTCTCAACTGGAGCGTCAGAGGGCGTCTCAATGGATTCCTCGACCACGGGAACGGGCTCAGAAGCCTCAACTTCCATTTGTTGAAGATCCTCTGCGATGATTGCAGCAATGACGGCATCATTCTCATCTCTCGGAGCAGTGTCCTCAACGTGGACTGTCTCAGCGACCTGGCTTTCGGTGGCTGCTTCAGCATCCTGTGGGTTGGTCCCGAGGTCGACTTCACGAGACACTGGTTCCGGAACAATGCTATCCAACAAATGCTCCGGAATATTGCCAGATGAGCTGGGCTCGGCAGCGCCGACCTCATGAAGAGACTGTCTATCCTCGGAAGACTCGGAACCGTCTCGCTCAAGAATAGCCTCCTCTGGCTTGGCTTCCATAGCAATGGCTTGCTGCGGGTCCGCGATGGCGAACAGCTTCGCATCTGCATCCGAAACAATCTCCATCCAGAAGCGAGCCGTCTTGGCAGGCAGCTCCAGACTGTTGGATAGCTCTGTGATGCGGGCAAAAGCGAGTGTAGGACCAAACTGGTCGCGAGTGTGTCCAATCTGCCACAAGCGAACATATTCAGGACTAGTGGTCTGCTCCGTCTTGGTCGACGCCCACAACGCAATTTTCTTGCGGAGATCAACATAGTTGGACGAACGAGGCACCGTTAGATACATCACGCTGTTTGCCGTTTTGGCCTGTGCCATCAGATCGTAGGTATCAAATAGACTGTCCAATTGATCGTACTTCGGAAGCGAGTAGACTTCAACTTCGATCTCATCCTTCTCAGCCGAAGCCAAAGGCGAGTTTCCGGTCTCGTAGTATTCCTTCAGCGACGCGGACACCTCCCACGGTCCCTGAGGACCAGGCAAGTAATCTTGCACGACGTCGCTGCGAATGTACATCACTGCGATGGCGACGTCGTGGCCGGTCTTGTGATCAGGCTTTTGCGAGGCGTCCAGACCAAGGTGAGGTCCCAGAGCAGTCTTGCGAGTCAGACATTCGACACGGTTGTCGCTCCCATCATCGAAAGCCAGCCACCTGGTACCAGGTCCACCTGGGCGAAGAATACTGAAGAACTTGCCTGAGGTGCGTCGGCCACGGTGGACGATGTACCCATACAGGACATACTTGCCATCCTGACCATCCAGCAAATAAGGTGCGAGGTCTAGCTCTTCATCCAGCTCGACCCGGTTGTAAAGGAGGCGCCACTGCCGAGCTGCCTTATCCAAATGCTGACGATCAAGCTCCAGGTGTAGGATGGGTGGAAGCACCCACCGTCCCGGCTTGGCACTAAGGTATTGAGTGAAGGCGTCGCTGGTGGTCTTGACCTGATCCGCAGATACGCAGATGCGGGAATTGTATTCCTTCGGTATGGTGTTAATCACACCCTCTCCTGTCGCATCAACAGGAACTGATTCGACAGACGGGCTGTCGAACAGCTGGGCGAGCTCATGTACTGCATCGGTGCCCTCAAGCTCGATCTCGAGGGTCCGACGCAAACGCTCCCAGAATTCGCACACATCCCCCGAGTACTCATGCAAGTTCCGCAGAATTGATGTGATGAGATCAGTGTCTACGTACTGCAGTGATTGGCCTCGCGAACGCAGCTGCCAGAGGAACTTCTGCAACGCGTCACAAAGCGGCTTGGGTTTGACATCACAGTCACTGAGATGTTCCAAGACGTTCGCTTTCTGGATAATCTTGCAGAAGGGAGCAAGGTGCAGCCACGTGGCGAGCCCGGCTACCTCCGCACTGTGGTTGATAACCGAGTCACCTAAGGGACGGTAGCCAGTCAAGCTCAAGCTGTCCCAAGTAGGCTCGGTGTCACTGGCATGCCACCAAAGCGACCGAGTGGGATCGTCGACGATGCGGATGTAAGCATCGAACGCGAGCGTATCGTGCCGAAGCAGTGCCTGGCGCTGGCCCCGCTGACGGCGATGGATCTGGTCCCACGGGCCGTGGAAGTTAGTCCAGCCCCAGTCCAGGTTATGTGAGTTAAACTGGTGGCATGACGACTGCATCCAACCCGTTCGAGGCTCCTCTGGGTTGTAGAGTATGACGCCAATCTGAGCGGACACCCGCCAGGAACCAGCCCCGGCAGCATTCTCCTGGCGAGCATGAGGGTACTGCGCCTTGAATTGCTCAAGCCATGCAGCCGTATCCTCAGTCTCTGCAATCTTGATGTCAAGCTCGGGAGCATTGTTGTCCAAGCTCTCTTCAGCAGGGCCCTGGAGCACCTTGAATTCCGTATCCGGATAAGACTTCTCTGGAGTGGGCATGGTCGGAGAGCACTCGATGTAAATGCTCAGCGAGTTGACATTGTTACCGCGTGGGAAGAACTTGATGGTCCACCAATAGCCACCCATGTAAGCTGGGGGCGAGCGCATGATTTTAGCGCGGTTGGGGCGGTCCGGAGAGCCACGAACGCCTTTAATCTTCCACGTCAGACGTGCCTTCTGGATAGGACGGTACTCTGGATCATCTAGATCGGCGTGGAAATTCTTCTCCCAGTAGTCATCTAGGCTGGTCAGCAGTCCGCTCCACGTTTCTAACCTTTGCCCCATGGTTTGGAAGCTTACACTCATAGGCGCTATAGTCGCCATCCGCCGCAGATTCAATTTCCTTCATCTCTGTTTCGTCCGGCACTGTAGAGTCCTCCTCAATCTCGGCCCAGTAGGCATGCTCTAATTCAGGTGAAGCTGATTGACCCGCTGATGCCGGGTCGGCATCCTCGATGGTCTGTGTTTCGCCTTGCGGGGCATCTGGGAGCTCCTCAGATCGGGGCTCTGTCGACGGTTGGGAAGGCATGTCGCTAGGCGGCTCAGGAGAATCCTCCGTGGTGGCCTCAATGGCCACCGTTGTTGCCGTGGCTGGCTCAGTGGGAATGGAGTCGGTGGTGAGGATGATCGGAGGGGGCACCTGGTCCACCGATGCGGTTGAAGTCTCGATCTGAGAATCCATTTCTGATATTCAAAGAAGATGGACAAGTGGGACAACAATCAAAAGAAGACAAGTAGTAGTAGCAATAGGATGGCCTGTCCCTAAAGGCTACTGTCAAAGGCGAGACAAAACACGAGTCAGGGAGGGCTAGACTGGGGAGGATGAGTCAAAGCTGAGAAACACGAGGAGTCTTAGCCTCAGAATGAGTGCAACCAACGGAAGACAATCAGACATTCAATGGTCAGGAAGTCTGCTGCAATGCTGCCTGCTCGAGTGTTTGAATGGCAGGCTGACGAGTCCCAAAAGAGTGGTCAGGCTGCTGGACAGAGGGGCAATGATGGGGGGAATTGAGACGTGAGAGCCTGACAGGCAGAAAAAGAGCGAGGGTCTAGAAAAGGCCAACGATAAGATGCAACGAGCAAGGCTTATCGGGGGAGAAGGGGGAAAGTGGCCCAAGGCTGGAGCAGCAGCAGAAAATAAATTAGGGGCACAAGTGTCAACCACTAGTGCTGAGAAAGACAACAATGAGAGAAAGGGATAGTGTGAGGGGAAGTGGAGGTTGGCTGATGCTCAGCAACAGTCTATCACAGTTAGACTAATCACACTGAATCGGAGAGATTGTGCTGTACTCCTCCGTATGGTATATCAAATCCGGGGGAGGTGATGCGGGAAGTATAGATAAGTAGAGAGAGAAGCTATCCCAACCCGCGAAAAGAGGATGAAAGATGGTCAAAACGTAGGAAAGCAGATGAAGGGAGGAAAGAAGAGGAAGAGGGAATGGACGGACTGAAAAAAGAAGAAGAGGAAGAATGATAATAATAATAATAAATCAGAAGAAGCAACAAAAGCGACAGAGCCTACTGATCGAGGGGGAAGAGCCAATGGCAAAAGGATGAGGATGAGGCGGCAATGCAGCGGCCAAATCACGAGGCGCTCACCGCTGGTTATTGGGGAATCAGAGCCACTTCTGAACTTCTGCTTCTTTTTTTCCCCCGGATTATTAACATCCGTCTCCATCCCGTCCATTGCCACCGCACTCGGATAAAGCAATTAGAGATGAAAAGAACTGAGAGAGAAATACAATTGTATTCACCCAACCAAATTGAATGGAAAGAACCAACCAAAAAAGATCCCCCCCCCCCCCAAAAAAATAAAGAGAGAGGAAGACGGAATATCTTATCGATTGTCGTGCGATTGATCGACCGAACTAGCCGGGGGGAAACAACACACCAGGAACTGACCTGTCAATTTGCGTTGGTTGCCTTTCCCCTCCTTTCCATCAATTCCCCCCCCCCCCCCCCCCCCCTCTTCACTCTCGAGAAAAGAAGTAGGTATGATTTCAACACGTCGAATTCCAATCAAAGAAAACATCTTCAAGGCAAGGAAACTCCGTTTCATTGTTCACTATCACAGTTACAACTTTTCCTTCGTTGAGTTCTTTGTGCAGTAGGTCTTTTTTGCATGCTTCCCTCGGAACGGCAAGTCAAACACCCAGGTCCGTCCGATCCTCAAACCGGTGGCAACAGTCCCGGATAGAACAAACTAATTGAGGGCCTTTTCCACGGCCACCACGGCCATGATCGACCTGTGGAACGCTCCATCGACCCAGTGCAGTTCCATCGGTTCCATTCGCCGTTCCACCCATTAGTATTTTCCCCTCTTCGCCCGAACTTTTTGCCCCTCTGCCGATCCAACAACTTCGCCCGACCCTCCGGGTTTTCGATGGTTTGCCGTCCTCTGCCGTGCAGACTCTGTCCCAGGGACTCGGAGCTGCTCGTCCGATTTGCCTCCCTTCTGGATGTCCTTTTTGGCCGCTGCGCAATGAGGGGGGGGGGGGGGTGTGTTAGCGTGACCGTAGCGCCACGCCTGGATCGGCCTCGAGTTATCGACGCGGGGCCGAGATAGGAGGGGAGCTCCCCGAGAAATCGCCCAAGTGCTCAGTGACCTCGAATGAGCGAAATCCGCGGCCTTGGGAGTACTGAAGTACAGAAGCTGGAAACGAATCATGCAACGGCCATCTCGCTAGATGTCTGCCGATATCTACGCAGTGGCCATGATCAATTCTTGGACTGGGAAGCATCCGGTGCTCCTGCATCTGATCTCGCAAACGAAGCGGCCACAATGAGTGGGAAGACCACTGTGGCTTCCGCATACACCTTCACCGACTCACCGTCAGCTTTGATCTTGCCCCAGCTGACGGCCTCATCCGGTCGCGCCCCGGCATCGCTTCCATCGAACTCCTGACCAGTATTCACGTAGACCGCATGCTCCGCACCGTTCCGCATCAGACAGGCATTCGCAATATGGTGTTTAATGACCCCACCTCCGAGGATGATCATTCCCGCTCGAGCAGCACGAACAGCCATGGTATTGATCCGGCGCACATCGTCGACAATATCAACGCGCAACCGTTGCGGGGAAGATTTGAAAGTGTGGAAGTAGAGCATGTCTCCAAGGGAGCCGTCCGTCAGGGCCGGGCAGAAGACGGGGATATTGTTGCGTGCGGCCCAATACAGCACCGAGTCCTCATTGTTGATTTCACGGCCCAGGCGTTCGGTGATGCGACTCGGGGTCCAGTGCAGTTCGTCCTCCTCGTCCCCCGTTTCCAGCGCCTTTTTCTTCGCGGCCTCCTGCTCCTCTAGCATCTTATCCAAAATCGGGACCAACCAATCCTCAAAGGCACAGTAATTGCTATTGGGGACAATCAAATTGCCGATACGATTCAAACCCTTCGCCCGCAATCCCGCGCCGGGTGTGCTGAAGGAGCCCATGTAGGTTGGAGCCAAGCACTTGATCAAATCTTCTTCCACACCGCCAGCGGTGGTGACAATGGCGGAAACATGGCTGTTTTTGACGAGGTAGCGGATGGTGTCGCGGAGGCCGGAGGAGATTAAGTTGGAAGTGTACCCGAGGAAGATGGTCGTTTTGGCACCGGTTTCGGGATGACGGTAAGCTTTCTTTCACAACCGGGCGCTGTCAGCGAATATACCTTTTTAGATTTGGATGATGGTAGAGGTGGCCTTACCATGTTGTTGATAATGCGGGCAGCGTCTGCGACCGCACTACCTTGGAAACCCGTGTATCTCATGTTGTCGACCAATTCGGCAACGGTGATGTCTCGGTCCTTGTAAAGATCAAAGTCCACTCCGCTCACTTTGTGTGTGCCTTCTGGAACAGGCTCGGACGCGACCAAGACAGCATCGGTGACGGAGGAGGGAGGGGCATTCTCAGCCGCCGGGACGTTGTTCGCAGACATTTTTAGGGAAACCAGTTGATTGGAATTGAATGCTAGGTAAACGAACGAGAAAAAGCACTAGGTTGAATCTCAATATTGTTCCCTCGATGTCAATTCTCGATGGAAGGAATGCGAGACAAGTGGTGAAGGTTGGTGGTCACGTCAAGGGAAAAAAAAAAGCGGGTTGTGTTTTCCCCTTAGGCTAGCCTTTTTTTGTTAGCACTTTTCCCCCCTCTTCTACTAGGAGCGGGGGGGCTCGCAGCAAATGCCCGGCGGCGGGAATTGGCAGATGGCAGGCAGTTCAAGTTGGCAGGCAGTTGGCACCCGGAGGCAGAATGGGCAGCCGCTGCAGGGATGCCTGAGTTTATGCCTGAGGCCACTAATAATTATAGACACCTGAGGCATATGGTGGAAACTGGACCCCTGGCCTGAGCTGGCCTGAGGCTAACTCCGCAAGTTCAAGTTACTTTTGAGTTTCCCCTAGAAAAGCGAGTCCCTGCAATCGAGTGACTCCCTGGCCAACTAAAAGCTTCCGACTCCATTGCCTGGGCCCCATCGCTGAGTCTGGTCAGAGTCGCTCGTTTTTCCCTCTTGCTCCAACCTCGAACCTCTTTCATGATCCTCCTCTTCTTGACTCTGTCTAGACTCTGACCTCGAAATCCTTCCAGTCCTTCCAGTCCTTCCATTCCATCTTCGATAATCATTTACCTTCTGATTTTAACCTCTTAACCTCTCCAATACCATCGGATTTCCCTTCCAACCACCGCCGTTACACGCAAACCGATCTTGGGGTCTCTGGGCGCGTTCCGGAACCGAGAACGAAGACCGCGATCCCATCGCTGGGGATTTTGCTGCCCAGCTCCCACTCCCACTCCTACTCCCACTCCCACTCCCTTGCAGCGCAGTCTTTCCCGGTGAATTACTTGACACATTGTCGCCCATCAAACAGTGCGTGCGACAGTTCCAGTTACGTTGAAAGATCAGGTAAATTGAGTTTACGTCTTTTTGTTCTGTTTGCTATTGTTTCCGTCCGAAGTTTGAAGTTTTGCGGTTCTTCATGATCATCATCTCATCTCCATCACCCTCATCATCCTCACGTTCTTGATTTTCGGCCACTCCGATGAAGAATTCCGGCCGTGTGAGACACTGTACTCCGTTGCCTGAGTCGTGACCAGCCAGAAGGTCTCCCCTCGCACTGGAAATTGAAAATCTGTCTGCTGCCGCCTGCGTGATCCCCGATCCACCCAGGAAAGCTGCCCCGGCTTGTCCAGTTACGGGCTGAAACAATCGGCGCCAACCGTGGCTGCCGCTAAGCATGAGGGATGGTGCCAAATTGGGATCCGCGCTAAGTGGGTTGAACTGGATTCATGCTAAATTGATTACCTAATTTTCAATCCTGGCCCGTGCGTTTCTCTTTTTCCAGCACTGACTGCGCCCATACTGGGCTGGCTCGGGGCTGGCATGCTTCATTCTACCATCACGTGTTCTCCACTGCCCGTTCGTTCGTCGGTCGTTCGGTCGTTCGATCGTTGCTCGCCCGCGTTTTTGCTGCGACTGCGACTGCTGCTGCTGCTGCTGCCGCTTCCGCCTCTTTGCGTCAATTGGTCTTTCCAGCCCGCTCTTTTCGAGACTCCTGCTTCTTCTTCTGTCCATTTGTCTCATATCTATCCATTTCCTCATTTTCCTTTCTTTTTCTTTACTCTACTTGGAATTTGAGTTGTCGACTTCATTTTCTCCCTTTATTTCCTTTTGGACATACTTTCGTTCCCCAAAGTCTTATTCCTTCCCACCCAGTACCTTGCCTTGCTTGACGTGTGAAGTTCCACGTTACTAATCTGTTGCAGGCATCCTGCCGGGTTGCTTTGTCTCATGTGCACTAGCATGACCTGGTGATGTCTCAAAGATACCCTCCGCCGTCTGGGTTCAACTCCCGTGATCGTTCTCCGCAGCGTTTTGGAGACCGTCGACCCCCGGCAGGACCCCGAGGATCCGACGATGCCAACATCCCTCCCTTGGGCCGAGAGCCACCTCGAGGCCCTAAAGCTTTGATTGATCCGCCGCGGGGTGCTACATTTGCTGGTCGTGGCCGAGGATACACCGCCCGAGGAGGAGATTTCCGAGAACGAGATCGAGACATTCGAGACCGCGAACGAGACCGAGACCGAGATTTTCGCGATGTCCGTGATGGCCCGCCACCTTTCCGCCGCGATCTGGATCGAGATCGGGACTGGAACCGGCGCGAACGCGACTTCGACCCTCGAGAACCCCGCATCGGCTTCGGACGCGGTCGCTCGCGCTCTCCCCCACCGCCTCGCGACTTTCGAGATATAAGAGAGCCTCTGGGCCGAGATCCTGATCTTGTCCGCATGCGGCGCGGCTCACGAGATAGTTTGATCTCGGTTTCCTCGGCAGTGCCTGACGTCCCGGCAGGAAACAGTCACCATGTTCGGACCGGTCCCCCCATCCGTGGGCGTGGTCGGGGTGAGTGGGAAGCAGGACGCGGCAGAGGCCGGATGCCCTATCTAGATGATCGTGACACCTTCAGGCGCAGAAGTCGATCTCGCGACGGACGCTGGGATCGGGAACGCGACCGAGACCGGGATCGGGATCGGGATCGGGAACGTGAGCGTGAAAGAGAGCGGGATAGAGATCGCATACTCGACCGCGACCGTGAAAGAGAACGTGAACGAGTGCCATTAGACCGCGACCGTGAGGTTGACCGACGAGATCGGGAAAGAGATCGTGACATACTGCAGGAGAGACGAGAAAGATTTGAGCGACGAGACGACTTGGAACGCCGCGTCGAGCGCGATGACCGGGAGCGACCGGGGGATCATTGGAAGCGTGAGCCGCCTGCCAATCGATTGGAGAATCCAAACCGGATACCGAGCATATCTGCCGCCTCACCTGTCGCTACTGCACCCCAACCCACAATCCCTGCAGTTCCCGAGCGGGTACCTGAGCCCCCCGTCGTCGAGCCGCCACGCAAACCGTCTGGAGGAGATGTCCGCCGCGAGCCAGAACGAACCGAGCCACCTGCACCACCTCGTGCGGAGCCACCGAAAGAAGCGGTTGTTGCGCCGCCCGTAAAACGGTCCCCTCCCCCGGCTGCGCCCCAGGTTCCCGCATTTGGTTCGGTTACGGCACCAATTCCCGAAATCACGGCAGACAAAACAACGGCAGAGTCGGCGCCTGCTGCATCCACTGTTGCCAAAGCCGAAAAGGAACGCCCCGAGGCGCCGCCACGGGCCCCAGGACTTCCACCCACTGCCCCCAAAGCTGATCGGGCACCTCCTCAGCTGCCTCTCGAGCAGCGAATCCGACGGGATGAGACCAGACGTGACGACATAACCGACACATCGGCAAAGCCCGAACCCATTGCACGTGTGCCCAAACCGCACGCCGCACCCCCACCCAGTGGACCTAAGGTAGCCGAGCTTTCTCCGCCTACTGCGCCCGCTGCCATGGTGGCCAAGGAGACATCGGCCTTCCATGAGGCAACGTCGCCAAGCAAGCCAGGGCCTGCCCCGATGACGGTAGATTTTGGGCGGAGGCCGTCTGCGGCAGGGCGTGCGGTTTCTCCGGGCACCCACACCTCCCCTAGGATGCCGAATTCAACAATCCCAACTGGTCCACGTGCTCTTCAGCAGCGACCGTCTGGCTCCCGCGGACCGCCCAAGCCCAACAAGCAATGGGTTCGTCCTGGATACAGTCGTCCACCAGCAGGGCCAAGCTCAACACTTTCTGCAAAACGGGACTCTATTGATGAAAAAGAGCGCAGTCTTTCGGTCAGCGAAGAGCACCGGCGGGACTCACGTACTGATATCGATGATTCAGGCTCAGGGCCAGAGGCAGGAGAAATAGTCAGTGAAAAGGATCCGACTGAGCCAAAGCTTGAGCTCCCACCTTCACCTCCACTAGCGGCGCAACCGGAGAGACCCAGGGAGAGATCTGCTCCTCCTGTAGAGAAGCAAAAAACACCGGAAACGCCAGTGGAAAAGACAGCAGACGTACCGAAGAACGTGGTTATTCCCGATTTCACACGGACTAGCGACGAAGAGGAAGACGAAAATATTGTGTTCACACAAGACTATCTTGAAGAGAGGAAAAGGGTGTTCGAGAAGGACATGCAAGCCCTTCGAGCGGAGCTTCCTCCGCCTCCCTTAGAAGATCCGACTATCATGACGCTACTGATGCGTATCCAGCTGCTTGGTGCATTAGCCCATGCCACCGTTAAAGACAAAGCACCAACCCCCCCGCCTGTCCTGGATGAGGAGAAAATAACCAGCGATGAGAAGCCGGATGCAATGGATGTCGACACCGAGCCAAATGGAAAGGCCGAAGATCACGAGCCACCGACCAAGGAAGTTATGGAATCGGTGCCTGCTGCTGAAATACTCTCCGTGGAGACTTTGCCGTTTCTCAACAATGGTCCCCCGACCCCATTGTCAGATCTGGACATCTACCAGGAGAATGCAGCAGCCCATGAGCAGCTCAGGGATATTTTCCGCGGAGAACTCATGAAGCAACGTAAAGAGATTGCCCAAAAGAATGCTGGCCTACGGCTTGACTATCTTGCTCACTATAAGCCCTGGAGGCTGAATGTTTGGGAATTGGACAATGCCAAGGAAAAGACGTCGGTCACACCCGGACCAACCACGCCTCCTGCTGCCCCCATTCCTGTGACGGCTACACCTACGGTGGAAAGCGGACGAAGATACAAAGGCAACAGTGAGTTGGACTTCCAGAATGCTCTTCGCGCTTCTGAGATTTCGGCACAAGAGGAACTCGAGAAGCGTCGTGGCAACAAAGCTACGGCTCAGCCAGATCTATCCCGCGAAGCCGTCATCCCAGACATGCTAGAACCGCGCGAGGTGAAGGCACGAATCTATAAAGACACCAATAACATTATTGATCCTGCTAACGCCATGGACGTATTCGGATTCCTGCCGCCGCCCAATGACTTCACTAAAGAGGAACATGTTATTTTCACAGATGCATTTATGGCACATCCCAAGAAATGGGGCAAGATCGCGGAATCATTGCCTGGGCGCGACTTTCAACAATGCATCATACATTACTATCTCACCAAGGAAGAGATCAAGTACAAAGCCAAGCTCAACAAGCGGTGGAGCCGTCGGGGACGAGCTAGAAGATCTGCCCGTCCAAAGTCGAATGCGCTCATGGCCGATCTGGGTGTGGTCAAGCCAGACTACGAAGGGGAAGAAGAGCCCGCGCC